ATCCTCAACAAAATAATGGCAAACCGAATTCAGCAACACATCAAAAAGATTATTCACCACGACCAAGTAGGCTTCATCCCAGGGATGCAGGGGGTGGTTCAACATATGAAAATCAATAAATGTAATAAACCACATTAACAGAAGCAAAGACAAAAACCACTTGATCATCTCAATAGATGCAGAAAAAGCCTTTGATAAGATCCAACATCATTTCATGATAAAAGCTCTATGAAAACTAGGAATAGAAGGAAAGTTCCTCAACATTATAAAAGCTATATATGACAAACCTACAGCCAGCATTATACTTAAGGAGAAAAAACTGAAACCATTCCCTCTAAAATCAGGAACCAGACAAGGATGCCCACTATCTCCACTCCTATTCAACATAGTACTGGAATTCCTAGCCAGAGCAATTAGGCAAGAAGAAGGAATAAAAGGAATACAAATAGGTAAAGAAACTGTCAAAATATCCCTATTTGCAGATGACATGATCCTATACCTTAAAGACCCAAAAAACTCTACTCAGAAGCTTCTAGACATCATCAATAGCTATAGCAAGGTAGCAGGATATAAAATCAACATAGAAAAATCATTAGCATTTCTATACACTAACAATGAGCAAACTGAAAAAGAATGTATGAAAACAATTCCATTTACAATAGCCTCAAAAAAATCAAATACCTAGGTGTAAACCTAACAAAAGATGTGAAAGACCTCTACAAGGAAAACTATACACTTCTGAAGAAAGAGATTGAGGAAGACTATAGAAAGTGGAGAGATCTCCCATGCTCATGGATTGGTAGAATCAACATAGTAAAAATGTCGATACTCCCCAAAGTAATCTACATGTTTAATGCAATTCCCATCAAAATTCCAATGACATTCATTAAAGAGATTGAAAAATCTACTGTTAAATTTATATGGAAACACAAGAGGCCACGAATAGCCAAGGCAATACTCAGTCAAAAGAACAATGCAGGAGGTATCACAATACCTGACTTCAAACTATATTACAAAGCAATAACAATAAAAACAGCATGGTACTGGCACAAAAACAGACATGAAGACCAGTGGAACAGAATAGAGGACCCAGATATGAAGCCACACAACTATAACCAACTTGTCTTTGACAAAGGAGCTAAAAATATACGATGGAGAAATAGCAGCCTCTTCAACAAAAACTGCTGGGAAAACTGGTTAGCAGTCTGCAAAAAACTGAAACTAGATCCATGTATATCACCCTTACCAAGATTAACTCAAAATGGATCAAGGATCTTAATATCAGACCACAAACTCTAAAGTTGATACAGGAAAGAGTAGGAAATACTCTGGAGTTAGTAGGTATAGGTAAGAACTTTCTCAATGAAACCCCAGCAGCACAGCAACTAAGAGATAGCATAGATAAATGGGACCTCATAAAACTAAAAAGCTTCTGTTCATCAAAAGAAATGGTCTCTAAACTGAAGAGAACACTCACAGAGTGGGAGAAAATATTTGCCAGCTACACATCAGACAAAGGACTGATAACCAGAATATATAGGGAACTTAAAAAACTAAATTCTCCCAAAACTAATGAACCAATAAAGAAATGGGCAAGTGAACTAAACAGAACTTTCTCAAAAGAAGAAATTCAAATGGCCAAAAACACATGAAAAAATGCTCACCATCTCTAGCAATAAAGGAAATGCAAATTAAAACCACTAAGATTCCACCTCACCCCTGTTAGAATAGCCATCATCAGCAACACCACCAACAACAGGTGTTGGCGAGGATGCGGGGAAAAAGGAACCCTCTTACACTGTTGGTGGGAATGTAACTAGTACAACCACTCTGGAAAAAAATTTGGAGGCTACTTAAAAAGCTACATTGATCTACCATTTGATCCAGCAATACCACTCTTGGGGATATACCCAAAAGACTGTGACACAGGTTACTCCAGAGGCACCTGCACACCCATGTTTATTGCAGCACTATTCACAATAGCCAAGTTATAGAAACAGCCAAGATGCCCCACCACTGACGAATGGATTAAGAAATTGTGGTATCTAAACACAATGGAATATTATGCAGCCATGAAGAAGAACGAAATGTTATCATTTGCTGGTAAATGGATGGAATTGGAGAACATCATTCTGAGTGAGGTTAGCCTAGCCCAAAAGACCAAAAATTGTATGTTCTCCCTGATATGTGGACATTAGATCAAGGGCAAACACAACAAGGGATTGGACTTTGAGCACATGATAAAAGCGAGAGCACACAAGGGAGGGGTGAGGATAGGTAAGACACCTAAAATTAGCTAGCATTTGTTCCCCTTAATGCAGAGAAACTAAAGCAGATACCTTAAAAGCAACTGAGGCCAATAGGAAAAGGAGACCAGGAACTAGAGAAAAGGTTAGATCAAACAGAATTGACCTAGAAGGTAACACACACGCACAGGAAATCAATGTGAGTCAATGCCCTGTATAGCTATCCTTATCTCAACCAGCAAAAACCCTTGTTCCTTCCTATTATTGCTTATACTCTCTCTACAACAAAATTAGAAATAAGGGCAAAATAGTTTCTGCTGGGTATTGAGGGGGTTGGGGGAGAGGAAGGGTGCGGAGTGGGTAGTAAGGGAGGGGGTGGGGGCAGGGGGGAGAAATGACTCAAGCCTTGTATGCACATACGAATAATAAAAGAAAAAAAATCTCCATAAGGGAAAAAAAGAAATAAAAATTATTCAAAGGGAAAAATTAATTCTAGTTTTTAATTTTGCATGTCATAAAAATGTTATGACTGAATTATAGCACTAAAGCATATTGTGAAATATTTAATATTAACATCACAAATAACACTATAATCTGTGTTAAATCATATTTCCTTTTAATTGCCATGAGGTTTACACATTAGAAAGCATAAAAGTGTAAGGAATATAGTAAGAAAAGAACATTGTCCCTCCAATCTACTCACTTAATTTATTCTTTCATATTGACTTTACATGTATTTCATTATAAATGAGTGAGGATTGGGCTTGAAAAACTGAGCCCAAAGAATAACAAAATGGAATTTTGCTGTCAGAATTATTGACTGGTTATGACCTAGCTACTATTTGGGGTAAGAAAAACAGTTTTTTCAGCAAATACAGATACACACATGTCTCTTTATAATACATTTTTAACCATTTAAAATGTCAAATAGATGATATAGAATCTTTTAAAATTCCTTTAAAAGATTTTTTTAGTATCAAGTATTTTGACTAAATAGAATGAATAGCCAAATATTCAGAAATCATTTTATATTTTACATGTTACTATTCTGAACATAATTTGTGTCAAAAAATAAAACTGTGCACCAACGTATATTCATCAGCAAATGAGCATTTCATCAAGCAATAAGCTAACTGAATTAGTTTTATTTCAGTGAATAATAGACATTATTATATTCTAAGTATTTTTAAGTAGACTAAAAAAAAAAGAAAAAAAAGATTCCAAGTGACCCACAATTTTCATATTATCTGAGTTCAAGATTTTATGCTTGTAAAGCTTCAACAACATTACTTCCCCTTCCACTTCATCTTACAAGTTCCATTTCCCCATTTTCTGACTATAGCCTTTAAAATGTAGATTAGTAAATCTTGTAATAATATTCTCACATAGAAAATACACCTCTGGCTTTTCTTTGCCTGGAAACTTGTGTGAAACTGGCATATTTATATCATTGATATAAATTAAGATCATGTATAGAATTTTTCAAGTCAGGAAAAGAGAGGGTATGTTCTTAATTACCTATTTCCAATGTGAACAATATTTTGTTTTATTTTATTTTTGTGAACAATATTTTATTAAGTAAAATAATGATGTGCATGTATTTGGGAGATACAATCCTAGAGAGACAAATGAGCTTCTTTGGCAGGAAAGAGAAAAAATGTTTAGGTGTATTTGTTTGCATATATACATATTGCATATATGCATATATATATACATATATATATATACATATATATGTATATATATACACATATGTAAAAGAAAAGGCAAATTAACGAACTAAATACAATGACCTGCAAAGTTACATTTAGGAAAAGTAATCTGGAGAACTCAAAGATAGCAATTACATAAAAATAAAACATGGTAGAGAAAAATGTGTAAGAATGTATATGATATTTATTTGAACAAAGATTAGACATAAAACCACTATTCAAATCACTATTTCTGTATTTTTAGGTTACTAAATGTCAAGTCAAAATAACCAGTGATGTGGAAATTAAAAGGAAAGACACAGCATTTAGAATCATTGAAATAGAAAAAGAGACTGTGTTTTGTTTGACCTGCTTCCTTTGGAATAAAAAAATTATCTGTGTCTTTGTGTTTAAAGTCGGTTAACACTTAAGCTGACAGGAAATTAACTCTTGTGAGATGTCTTGGAAAGAATAAGGAAACTGGTCACATTTAAGGGAACTCAAATGAAATTTTCTAACTTAAAAAGGTTTTGTTACAGAGTGTGCGTTGGCTTGAACCTCTTTTATTGTGCCTGCCCCTAAATTCCCATCAGAGCTGATGATTAAAGTTCTACCCACTGGCCAGGTCCCTACAATTATCCCATTGTGATGGTGCTCTACCGTGGCGCCCTGCTATGGCCAGACATCAAGTCATTAGAGAACTGCAAGGGATGATGAAGAAGGTTATTTTAATTCCCTTTTCAGCCCTTCTCAGGAGTGGCTCTTTAGTTCACAGAGCTGTGGGTACTTGCTTTCAAACTAACAAGCAATATTACAAATGGAGGCTGCATTATCATGATTGCAGACAATCTAAGCACTTGAAGGCCAAGATTCTCAGTCCTCAATGTGTGCTGTTTTGTATTTATGAGCTAAAAATATATTGACAGTGCAAACAGCAAAAGGGGAGAAACGCAATGACAAGGTGGGAGTGGAGTAAAGAAATAATAAGAGAACATGGTAAAAATGAACGATAGAAAGGGGGATGCAGTCTTGGCCATTTTGTTGGTAAATAAAGTATTTTTACCCATTTTCTTGTTGTTCCACTGCGTAGTGCTCCAGCTCTGTACCGGGAAGGGGCTGGACTGGGGGAGGTGGTAGAGGGACATTGGCCCAGGATGATCCATTGTTTTTCTGTGGTTTAGAAGAGTTTTTATTTTTCTTCTTTTTTCCACCTTTCCCACCTGAAAGTAATAATGCATTTATTCAGAGTTGTTGAATATCAGAAGAAACCGAGACTATCAGATGGAAAGATGTGTTTATGTTTTCAAAACATCAGTGTGTTAGAGACAGTAAGAACTATAAACAATGAAATAATATAATCAGAAAAACATGTTTGTAAATCACTCAAAGTGATATTGTGTCTTTCCTAAAACATTAACTGCAGAGCTGAATGAATCAAAAGCATGGTTGCTGTATCAAAAGAACATTTATTGATTTATTCATGTCTGCTGCTTCCAGGTTTTCATTGTTAGATAAAATAATGGTCCATAGCAAATTCTTTTAAATGTCAGATTTCAGTGCATTTATAATGCTCTTTTGCATAATCTCTCTCAGTGGAAAATGAGTGTCTAAGGATACAGGCTAAACTTTTCCATTAGAATTTACTCAATTTAATTAATCCAGGAGAGTAACATTTTTCTCTCACAATTCACGGACAAAAATCAATCAACTACAATCTGGAGAATACCTGTAAATCTCTCACAATTATACATTTCACAGACTTTTTAACTAATGAAAGGCACAATTACTTTTGTATATAGTGAGAAGAGTTCCCAGCTTTTTAAAGCATGACATTTCATAAAATTCCAAAAGGAAGGAAAAGTAATGGAAATACAGTAATCAGGTTCAATATTATTTATAATAAAAATGAGTTCATGCACAAATATGAGCAGAAAGTAAGTCAGCAGCGTATCAGCCATATTTGGTATTACATGTAGCTTAATGAATTATAAAAATAAAACATATCATTTGGAAAATGATAATACATTTGACTCTCCCAAAATTAAGAAAATAAAGCTTATTCACTGAAAAAAGGCCACAGGGGGATGACAGAGTAAATACTTCTTGAATGAAATGTCAAAGGGTATTTCAGAAGTACCTAGGTAACTTCTATTATTTCCACCTTAGTTTGTAGTCATATGTGCGAAAACTTGTACTCGATCTTTCTGGAACTAAAAGCTGTGAGCATAAAATATTTGTAGCAATGCTATCTATCCATGTATATATTACTAGAAGTCCACTTATTTCCTTACTTCTACTATTTTCTAATCTGCATTAGCCAAATCAGATTGCATAATTTAATAATAATGTATTGGAAGTCCAGAAAGTGACAAAACTATTAACCAGACATACACATTATTGCTATTTATGGAGTTGTCTATTTTTCACATAGAATGTGCATATACACGCATATTTCAAAAAGCAACCTTAGAAAAAGTGCTTTCACCTGTCTTTTACTTCTTATCTTAGATAGAATTAAAGGTATTAAGAGGAAGGAAAACAAGTATCTTCTGTTTACAGAATTAGAGCTTGATTTCTGGTTTTGAAGACTACCTCTTCACATACTTTATGTTACTCAAGAAAGACAGACATTGCCTCAATTTCCAGACATGTAAAAAAGATTCTACCACTTGCCTGAGTTATCTTGAAAAATATGAGACAATGCATATAAAGTGCTCAGAAAGTCTAGAATGCTCAATAAATGTCAGCTCTCTCCCATCTCCTCTTTATTATAGTATACTCGGCTTCTATGGTTCTCTAACATATTCTCTACACCAACTTCTCCAGGCCTACTGAGTATCCCAAAAGCAGTGTGACCTTTAGAAAAAAATTGACAAAACTTGCTTAACTGTGTCTGTATTTTTTTTTTTTTTTTTGCTGCTGCTGGGAGTTTGAACTTAGGGCCTACAGCTTGAGTCATTCCACCAGTCCTTTTTTGTGAAGAGTTTTTTCAAGATAGGGTCTCACAAACTTTGCCTGAGCTGGCTTCAAACTGCAATCCTTCTGATCTCTGCCTCCTGAGTAGCTAGAATTACAGGTATGAGCCACCAGTGCTCCACTGTGTTGTAATATTTGTCATTACGATAAATGTAACCAAACCTTTGTTTCCTTAATACATCAAAACCATAAGTAAAGACATAGTACCTTATCTTTTCTCTGGCATCAGAACTATATTCTAATGATTGAAGAGAGATAGCTTGAAATACTTGCCCTTCCTATTTTTCTCTGATCTGTACATTTTATGCCTTTCATCTTTATATGTGTAAAATCTTTTCATTCTCCACAGCACTTTTAGAAATGTTATCTGATCACCACCATAACTGAGTGATAGAAACAGGGAAGGCCTTACATCTCCATTTTATTGATGAAAACACTGAAGTTTTTTCTGAGGGTTATGTGGTCCATGTTCACATAGTAAGGGAAAAATCGTAATTTACTGTGCAACTGCTTAATTAGAAACTGCTTTTTGCAGAATTCTGAGCCCAACTCTCTTTATGTCTTTGCTTAAGGACTTAAATTTAAGAAAGGCATTCATTACCTACTGTTCTAAAGAACAGATTTTAAAACATGCTTTGGAAGCAGAGCAGATACCCAAAAGTTATTTCTGAGTACTGTCCAAATCACATCCCTCTTTTGTAGAAATATCCGTTCTCTTATTTAGAACAGTCTGTTAGGGCTATTAATCAACACACCTGCCTTCTCTTAGTGCCAAGATAAGTGTTAGCGTCTTAGCATGGCGATGGGCGTATGACAACCTTAAAGCAGTGAATGCTCCTTCAGAGAGCTGAAAATTAAGTAAAGGGAGCCACCGCGATGCACTGCTCATAATGTTAGCTAAAGAATGCTAACCACTTTCAGGTGCAAACTGTCTGTATCATGTTTTAAGGGAGAATATTTTGGTAACTGACAAACATATTTGACCCCTCTTACTTCAATTCAAAATGTAAATATTTTGATTTTCTAAGCCTAATAAATGAACTTTATGTAAAAAATTATGAATAAAACTCATTTTAAAATCAGATACATAGAGACTGAGTGCATAGCTCAGACTGAGGGTGTAGCTCATGCTAGCATCCATGAGGCCCTGGATTTGAATTAAGACCCCACAAAAAAAATAAGTTAACTTAAATGTATAATCTATTTTTAATGGTGTATTATAAGATTTAGCTATTATTGCCAATTTTGTATACACTGTGTGTATATACATAATTATGATTACAGATGCTATTTTGAAACATCTGAGTTTGTTTTTATGTTTTTTAATGGTGGGGTATTTAACTGAAATACTCTTAACTTATATAGTGAACAAATTATAAGTGATCCAAGAAGGTAATTACTTCATTCAAATAATTCAGAAATGTTCAATATTCTTTATCACTGTAATTATTTTAAATTAGTTACATCACTGAACAAATTAAGAAAATCCTATAATATGATGATTAGCTATCCATAGGGTTTTTTGGTCTTAAATATGAGCTTTGGGAAACATATCTACAAATAAAAGAATAAAACAAAATTGTAATATTAAACTCAATTGGATTTTAAACCCAATGTTAAACTAAAAATGGATAAATCACTTCAATCTCAACTATTGCAAAATGCTTTCTATCTACAATTTAACTAATTTTGTATTTAAATGTAGATGAAGTAGTTAATATAATGCCAAGACATATATATATATATGTCTGCCACTTGGCAGATTAATGGATTCAAAAGGAAGCAAGCATCACTGTGAATCACATCCTGCTTACAACTACTCAAAACATAAGTTCTAAAATCCAGTGGCAATCAATCTATACAGAATATTTAATGATACTTTCAAAGTTATTATGCCATTCATGGCTTATAGTACATAGATTTCTTTTCATACATTGCTTAATTGTTACTTATCTTTACTGAAAGAAACCTCAGAAAAACTACTTTTTAATTATTCAGAACAATCATGGGACTATTTATACATAAATGACAGCATAAATGACATATAAGGTCATTCAAAAAGTTCTCCTCTGTTATTAAGCCAGTTTAAATTCATAACAGATGTTTAAAAATTTCTGGATTCTATAATGTATCAAATTCTACCAATAGGCAAGAAGAGCAAATGACTCATTTTGGAGTGAGGAGAGAGCATTAACATTTTCAGTATGAGAAGGTTCTATCTCCTGAGGAAAAGCAATTTAGTAAATGTAACCCTAATAGTGTAAAAAATTTAACTCTTTATGGTATTGATGCTTGATAGCCTGTGACATCCAATAGCACACTATAAACATTATCAATAGATAATTCAAAAGAAAAAAACCTGAATGTGAAAAGTAGCATATAATTAAGCTGAATATACTGAACAAGTAGGGTCATGGAATCAACTAGAAATATAGATTTGAAATGTCATGGCTAGAAGTTAAACTGTGTCTAATACATTATCTTCACTTTACAGGCGAGAATCCTGAGCACTGATATTTATTATGACAGAAATATATTTTTGTCTAGTAAAGTGAATTTTTTCCACATGTGCTAAATAATGCCTACATTACAGATTGTTAGCTTAGGTGATATTTCTCAAATATATATTGAAATTTTATGAGCATACTCATAAAAGCTTATATGTGTGTTTTGGGGAAATTAAATTAAATAATTTCCCACATTATCCTTCATGGCATAGTATAATATCATTTAATAGATAATAAATCTTCTTCCATGATATTTTGGAAAGATTGTTGTAAAACAGGAAATCACATCACTGGATTTCAACACAAAAAAATCTCCCAAGTCATTTCATTTCATTCCTCTTTTGGTATCAATGAATTTAAATTGACTTTCATGTGTAATCTTTGTACTAAACTTCCCTAGACTCATAGAGTTCGAGATAGAGAAAACTTATCTGCTGCTTCTAAATAGTATTTCATAAAATGGCATTATTTTTCTTCAAATAACCATACAGATAAGTACATCGAGGATGACAGTGATATTTATTCCTCCTCCTCCCCCCAACCAAAGCATAACATTATAAGGATCAATTGCTATTGTCATTTAAAAAATAAATGCCTCCTCATGATGGGTTCTATCCAGTATTTCTTCATTGGCTGTTAGGAACACAGGTCATATGCTGGTGACAAACAAATATTTCTCCTTACTGTGATGAGACCAACCTGAGAGACTGCCACTCCTTTCTGAGCTGTTGTGAGAGCTGGTGGTGCTGAAATCCTGTGACTGGTTGTGTGGCATTCTATTAGACAATCCCTCAGCCAATCGGTAGTCAGGGATGTAAAGTAAGGCTAAGGGTTAAAGGGCAGAGGTCATAGTGGCATCATGTGATTAGTTCACAGCACAAGCCCATGCAGAACATGCAGTTAGCAACTCAGAAGCAGATGTTGTGGGGAAGTGAAGAAATGTTTCGTCTACCCTATCCTAATGGAAGTAGAGATGGATTGCTGATCACTCTATTGAAAAATTGCTAAAAGGATGAAACTGATTGGTGTTGGTGTGTGGTGGCGGCCGCGGAGGCAGTGGTGGCGGTAGGGACTGTTCAAGATATTCAATACATGCCATTAGAGTGCTTTAGGTTAGGTAGTAAACCTGGTAATGAATCACTAAGTGAACAACAAATATTAATTTCTATTTCATGCACAAATGGTATGAAATTTACTTCTCAGGACACAAGAACCAGACTCACCATTGTTACCTTTGTTCTGATCAGGTAGAGAATAACCAAATCCCATCAGGTCTGTTTTTTGCTGAATTGAACTTTTCCATTGTGGATCAGGCAGATCAACAGCCAGTTCATGGATGCTATTGGAATGCAAAATCTGTGTGGTGGCATATGGGGTAGCCTGTGTTATTTGGCTGGAACTGTTGTAAGTAGTTTTGGTAGTGAAGTCAATGCTGCTATAAATGGCTCCATCTGAGAGCATTGTTGCTGTTTTATCCCCTTGGCCTGGAACTGGTGGCAGCACATCTGTGATGAACATAGGGAAATGAAACAATTTAATGATGCACAGGAAGCCCAAAACTATCAGGACTGAAGATGAAAAATAAATGTATCATGCTACACGTTTGTATTTCAGCTGAGATGGGCTTCATGAGCCACTGAAGGGTAGATGATATACAACCATCTCCAAGCGATCAACCTCAGTGACAGACGGCCCTACCTCTCGTCCTTCACGTCTCACTGCTTAACATATCCCTTCCCCTGCTTTCCTCTAACATCAATGAGAAGTTTGGGATATGTCACTATCAATACTGAAAACTACTTCCTGTTGTTCCCTCTGTTTTAGAACCAAGTAAAGTGTAGCACTTCCCAGAAGCAATGCTAGGAAGAAATCTACAAATCATGGATGAATATATCTCTTTCCACTTTTGCCTTACAAAACATGGAATACAACTGCTAAACACTTGCAAAATGTCTGAAGTTACACTATACTGACTATGAAATACATTGTTATGAAGTTTTAACTGGCCACTTATCTGATTTGATTTTATAGCTCCAGAAACGTGAAAGAACTGATCATAGATTGTGTATTCTTTTTTTCTTAGATAACAAAGGAAAATTTTCATGAATAAGTCATTTTCATAATACAGCAGGATTTAACTACAGAAAAAGCAATCTCAGTGATCAGTGAGTTTAATTTATGCTATCAGCTCTTAAAAATGGAGAATTACAGTTTCATGTTGTAATACAGCAAGAGTAAAATTAAACTTCAGGAACAACACTGAATATCAATCAGTCCATTTATCATTTTGGTATGCTGAATTAGCTTTACATGATGCTTTATAATTCAGGTCTGCCACCTCTCTCCTGAGCTCTTGCCTTCCCCTTTCAGAAGAAAAATACTAACTGAATCTAAAAGAGAAATCATTAATACTGGAATTAAATCTAATTACAGCTCCTTTCTTCATAACATATATTCTGAAAATCTCACTTCATAAGGTTTCCAGTCATCATATCAGTTGATTTCTTCACTATCAGAAATTTTCAACTAACTTAAGACTTATAAGATTTAGTGATACCCAAGAGTTCTTGAAATAAAGATTCTTTTTTTTTTTTTTTTCAGGGCCTTACACTTGGTAGGTAGCTACTCTACCACTTGAGTCACTCTGCCAGCCCTAAAGATTCTTACAGAAGTATCAGTTTTATCTTTTCAATTAAGAAAAGCTAAAAAATTGACTTTAGCAATAATAACAAGAAGTTTATAATGTATTTTATACATTACATAATTTCAGTCTTTCTGAAAGTTTTAAAATCTAGCATTCCACACTCATTTACAAGTAAGTGGAAATTAAGTACTTTGTTGAAGATTTTAAATGCATATCAGTAATATTATTAAATATATCCAAACTGAAAACATTTCACTATGCTATATAAGTAAGTGAAATTGTTTTTGGATTCCAGATTTTCACAACCACTTCTTTTATTCTTCTTACTTTTAGCTGTATAGTAATTATAAAATTGGATGCTGAGCAGGCATATTTCGTTCTCAAGTGCTGGTATCATTTTTAATCTCAAAAATGTTGAATATTTAATAATTTACCAAACTGATGTAAGTAGATATTTCTCTGTATATACGCTTTCAGACTTCTTTTTCGCCCCCTCAATCCTGTCTTTTACTGATGAATATTAAATAGAATTGCTTCTCCAATATGGACCTGAGTGACCTATACCTTGAAACTGAGGTTCTCCAAAGCTTTAGATATAGTACATACACCACTTCAGCTGCAAGCTATTGAAATATTTTTGTGCTCAAATGATAAAAAATGGAAAAAAGTAGTCCAAGGTAATCCCACATAATATTTCCTTACAACAACTAAAGCAATGGCTCTGGAAATAGAATCTCTCTTCCTGCTAGATGAAATTATAGTCAGCCTTCAAGTCTAAGTGCTTCTATATTGATTTTTGAGCTGCATATTGTCTTCAAACACCATTTGATCACTACCACATTTTCAAAAAGTAAATTGAATTATATCCCAATATTGAAATATTAGAAGATTATACATGAATATCTGGATGTGGAGGAGAGTCCTGCAACATCAGATGTTCTGGAAACTCTATCCAGCCTTCCTCCTAACACTTTGGATCTGAATATATGCTGCCATCTTTAGGCAGGACTTTCTGTTTCTGAAAGTCCCCACCAACCCATTCTCCAGGCTTTTGGCTGTTGACATTTATTGATATTTATGTTTGGAATCTAGGAAGATAGAAACATTTCTTTGTAGTTTGAATAATGATGCAGTTTTTGAGCATCTCATTTATACTTTTACAAATGGGTTCATTTCATTTTTGTCTCATAGAATTACTTGAATGATTACTTGGATGTCTTCTTCACTGCTTCCTAGGTTACTTGACCTATTGTCAAGTAACCTAGGAAGCAGTCAGCATTCTAAGGAGAGTTAGCAATTAGGAATGGAATAAATGACTTTTTATAGTTTGTATTGACAAAATGCAAAATTATTTGATAAGTAGTAAATATAATTCAAAATACTATTTTCATTACATTCAAGCATGTGTCAGTATTCCATTCTGAAAGGTAAAATGTCAGTATTCATGATTGTCCTCCTAGGTGGGTGTGTTTATAAAGTCAAACATGTGCACCCAGTTAGAATACTGAGCAAGGTCAGAAAAAGATTTGAAGCTTTAAAACTAGCTTAGCACTATTCACCTAGATCTCAAATTATTCATCTTGATAGATCTTAGTTGCTTGACTTTTAAAATATAAATATGATTTCCTATTTCACATCTCTGAAAAAAGACATGAATTAAAACATACAAAAATATCCTACAAGTATTTTTGGCACATAAATACTAAATGCTCAGAATGATTATCACAGTGAAAACAGATAGAGTAAAACCTGCAAAAACTTAATTTTAGCCTTGATGTCATCTGTGCAGCATTTCATGTCATGAAATGAACGCCAGGTGGGAATGAAAGAAAAACCTTAAGTAAATCTATGCATGTAGACTTTGGCTAAATTGGACCAAGACATCATAGAAGTTAATGTAAACTCTAAAAACTGAAAACTGAAACATTTTCTTCATCTTTAGATATATATTTCTTGATATACAGATAAAAATTGTGCTGATTTATATAAATACAACAAGTAAAATAAACAGCTCTTTCTTGATTCATAAAACACTTGGGAATAGAATTCCTTTTGATAAAATCAGTCTGCAGACTAGGAAGAGGGGAAGGACATTCTGCTTTACTTATAAGGAGATGCTCAGGCCTAAAAACTTGCCATGATAGAGTGAAAGCCTACAATATCCATTTAACTTTCATTACATATGTTGAGGTAGTGATGGTTGGTTTCTGTACTTTATTTGAAGAATGGGGAGGAGTTCTCCCTTCTTACAGTTGGTATTGACAGAATGCAGACTTATGAAATACTTAGCAAATTTACTTTTTTGAAGAACTGTTTTAATTATATTTAAACATACTGATAATCTGTTCTTCAAAAAAAGATGTCAGTATTCATGATTGTTCTTCTAAATCAATATGGTTAATATACTTAGAAATGTGAGACCCATCCAACAAGGTTGTATTTAGACTCAGAATAGTTTATTATAGCCCTGTGTCTCCTGAATTAATTCTAGAAGTATAGAAAGCTTCCAGTGGATTAATTCAAATTTGCTTTAGTTGACATCAATCTTCTAAATGGACACCCTGGTTTTCTATACTTAGTCTACTCTCCAATCGCAATAGACTAGATGACTTAAAACAGTGTTATATTCCAATACTCTTCTCTGAAAAGTCCATCAGTGGCTGTTGATTACCTCTGGACAAAGTTTAAATATTTCATGTGACTCAGAATGGCTCCTGTTATCTGTTCTTCTATATTGTTACTACTTCTGTTGCTTTGCATTTCATACTCAAGTCTTTAAGAAATTTATTTATTTACTTTCTACTTTATTACTTGCACAGTGTTAAAAATAAAACCTAGGGCCTTGTGTATGCTAGGCAAGCACTCTCTACTGAGCTACAACCCTACAACCCATTTCATTTCTTAAATAGGGCAATGTTTCTCTTATTTCTGGACAATTGAGTATGGTAATTTTTTCTCCACACAGTTTTCTCATCTTTTTGGTTAATCCATACCTCTTGTTCATATATATCTAAATGACATACCCTTTAAGAGATTTCTTAATTCAAATAGGCAGCACTCCCTTGTAGGGTACTGACAAGGAAGCTTAAATGCATTTACTGTCTACTCCATCTTCTACTAGGAAAAATGCACATGTGCTTGCCACACCAAATGCAAATTTCAGATATTTCTCTATTCTACTCATCTTTCTCTAAACTTATTTCTCCAATTGGCTAGAAAATATAGTGGGATTGGAGAAGTAGTTATTGAAGGTGATCTAATTTTGTCTTTAAAAGAAAAAAAGCCCTGGACAAGAATCAGCATCAATCCTTGGAGATGTTCGCACATTTTATCTTTCATTTTGGGTCCCTGTTATCAATTGCAGAATAATAAGAAGTTCTTTTTGAATGTGTTAGCCAATTTACCATCTACTCTTCACATGATGTATTACACGAGGGTAAGGACATCTCTTTTTATACCAACATTATATTCAGAGTGACTACTGTAGTGCTAGGTACATAGGGGTTCTGAATATATTTATATTGAATAAAACTTAAGAGAAGTAAAAGACATAGTCAAAAATAATAAGCCCTAGCTAACAGCACAATTTCTAATTACAATAATCTTGTAATTAGTTTTGAAATCTTGTAATTTGTTTTGAAAACAAAGTATATTAGTTTTACTTAAGATAATATAGACACACTAGTTTTATAGTAAAATATTTAGCAAAGGTGCACACTATTAGCATATGTATTTTATTATTTTAACTATGAAAGAAAATAGTTTCTAATATGTTTCCATTTTAATCTGGGAAACCAAAACCAAAAATACAAATATCATTATTTTGAAAAATACAACTTACCTCCTCGTCCAAAATTCCCAATTTCATTTGGGCCACTATTGCTATTGTTTACTGGCAAACTTGTGGCTGGCCATGAATCAGCAAGCCATGGATAATTGGGGTCACCTGCATTTAGAAGACCTGGACGGCTAAGACAAAAATGACAAGGAAATCACAATACGGATCTCTGTGCAACATTCTGACACCTATTTCACACACTGAAAATGGTTAAGGAATATAAGAAGATTTTAATTGATTTAAATTAAAATGTGAAGGCTCTGACGAATTAAGGAACTTCATCAGTTCATTAAGGCTATATATAGATCATCTCTGTCAGTGGAAGCAGTGGGATTCTGCTAACATCCAAATGAAATCAGTTGTTTCCCCAGAAACAAGTGGAAACTGATAGCATGGTAGGATCCCAAAACAAGGTTTGATGACAAATTTACACCTCAGTGGAAGAGTTGCTCAGAATGTCTGCTCATTGTCAGTCATTTCCAGGGCCTTGGGCTATTCCAAACTCAATTATTGCAGCTTCCACCTGAATCTGTCTTCTCTGGGCTATCACCCTTATTATGATCCCTTGTGCTTGATTTAGAAGGAAAGAACTTGAAATTCATGAATATTGCTTAGACTGTTCCATCAAGAGCACATCTGAAAGACCTCAAAATTGCAAAATGTCAGTAGTAAAATAAGGGGTTTTTAAAAGGCAATAAAAGATCCACTATGATCTGATCCAGAATATGAGTATAGTATATGGGGAAAACTATTATATCATATTTAATAAATAAATCCTTTCTTTAATGTAAAAGTTAGGATTCTGATTTCTTTCCAGGTTATTAACATATTTACAATGAAATAGAACATCTATAATCATTGTAATTTTTTGATAGAACCCTCCTGGTATAATCCCTAAGAGAAACATGTTTCTATGGAAACTGCAATAAGAAGATTCAACTGCTTTCTTGCTACATTCACTAGCTCTCATTAGATTTAATATCTTTTTGCTAAAATATTGATTAAATGGAAGATTGGAACTTATTACCAGAGCCTAATTACAATCTCCATATTGGCAAAGGGAAAATAGATGAGGATATATGGGTTTGTTATCAGCTTTATCAATTTCAATTGAGTATCCAAAATTGTGGAATCCAGTCCTATCAATCTAGAGACTATTCATCATCCATGAATCATTTACTTTGTGATCGATTATGTGTAATTGTTCACTCACAGCAATTTAGTGAGAGCCAATAAGGAGTCTTAAACAACAGCAACTTCATTTGCTAATGTCTAATTAATGCAATAAACATCCTGCTAACAAATGAACACATTCCTTGTGATATTTACTACTAATTTCTTCAGGGGCATCTGGGAGATATGAAACATCTGGACTTGATTCCTCTAAAGTGCACAACAGATAGATCATTAAACCTTGTGGTAAGCCATTTAATTCCTCCAAGAATTCTCAGACTTATAAGTGATCGTTTATTACAATAATAGCCTCTTACTGCAGAGTTTCCCCAGTACTAGCTTAAAATAATAATAAAAAAGAATCTCCTTAGCATACCTTCCATTGCTCATTAGTCCTCCATCTCCTCTTTGAAATGTAACTGTAAAAAAAAAAAAGACATGCACACACACAAGTAGTCAATATTAATTACAATTAATAACAAGTACATTTTGGACTTCAGTTTAGAGTTGAAGCCTCTGGGAATTTTAACAAAATATAACTAACGTAATTATACAGCTAGGAACAAGCAGTGATTTGGCTCGGGGTAATTATAGTCATCACTTGCTCCAACTTTAGTAGAATATTTAAATTCCTTTAGGCCAAATGTATACTTAAGTTAAAGTAGCAATTTATGGTAAGACATCAAAGGTCATCACAAGGGATACATAAAGTGTTACTAGAAGATTGGCATTACATTAACGTGGAACTGTCAAACCATGATCTAATCTTAATGTGAAGATGTCTTAGTTAGAAGGCATAAAGCAAAACACACATAATAAATATCCAAACAGGACTGACCCAGTGGATACATCCTTCCAATGCAGCAAGAGCAACAGGTATTTACTGATTACATATTTCTCACTATTATAGATCCTTTTAAATGTTCTTCAAAAGCACTATTACTGAACAGTATAATTACAATTATAGTAGACCTGAACTATAATTAACACACAATGGCATGCTCATGAAAATGAAAGTTGCAGATCATTGATACTAAATGGACTCCACTTGCATGTAATAATGGAAAAACTCAAGTTTTCCATGAACCTATGGAATATATTAGCAACATCAGCAAGCAAAGCATCTATTAGAGCCAAGGAAGTGAATCCACTCTTTCCAGTCAATGGTTTCTATTCCACAAAGTCAACAACATGAAAGTGTATTTCAAGAATGTAAGTATCAATTAAAGTCTTGCAGCCACAAAAAACCAAAAATCCTATGTTCTCCCTCATATGTGGACATTAGATCAAGGGCAAACACAACAAGGGGATTGGACTTTGAGCACATGATAAAAGCGAGAGCACACAAGGGAGGGGTGAGGATAGGTAAGACAACTAAAAAACTAGCTAGCATTTGTTGCCCTTAACGCAGAGAAACTAAAGCAGATACCTTAAAGCAACTGAGGCCAATAGGAAAAGGGGAACAGGTACTAGAGAAAAGGTTAGATCAAAAAGAATTAACCTAGAAGGTAACACCCACACACAGGAAATCAATGTGAGTCAATGCCCTGTATAACTATCCTTATCTCAACCAGCAAAAACCCTTGTTCCTTCCTATTATTGCTTATACTCTCTCTACAACAAAATTAGAAATAAGGGCAAAATAGTTTCTGCTGGGTATTGAGTCGGGGGGAGAGGGAGGGGGCGGAGTGGGTGGTAAGGGAGGGGGTGGGGGCAGGGGGGAGAAATGAACCAAGCCTTGTATGCACATATGAATAATAAAAGAAAAATGAAAAAATAAATAAATAAAGTCTTGCAGCCAAATGTATTTAAACTTCAAAATGATTTATATCTGAAAGAGGTAATATATTTCACATACTACAAGAGGATCTAAGGCACCAAAATGTACTCAAAGTTATCTAATATTTTTGCAATGCAACGTGAATATACATGAACAGTGGGGTGTAGTCTATTGTGTCACATTAGTTTGGATAAAATTTTGCCATTAAATTACTTAACTAGAAAATTATGAAAAAGAAATTTGTTCTTATGAAGTTTATAGAATGGAAAATTATAATAAACTTGAAATTCTTATTAAAATTATTCTGAATCAGCTAAGCCAATCACTCGGAATGAAGGAAAAAAATGCCATTTTCACAGCTGTGAAACCAGTGTGTCCTGTTTTTGCAAGATATTAATGATATTTACTATGATTTGTTTTCTTGGTATGTAAAGTTGAAAATAAATAAAACATTTATGAATTAATTAATATTTTAAATAAACAGTATATTGGTCACTTAAATATACACTCTGTGAATACTTTTTAATTTGAATAACTGTTCTGCAAGCTTAGGCTACCGAATGTGATCACTCTTTAAATATTATAAATTTCCAAGGGCAGTCTCTTAGTCCCTGTTTGAAGGTTATCAAATAGCTCTACCTTTCATGATATTGTAATCAAATAGCATGATCATAACTTTAAGAGTCTACCATTATTTCATGAGACAGAAACACATCAGAGCTTCCAGAAACACTGGAGGTACCCAACATAAACTGCTTTATCAAATTTTTAGGTAATATCTCAAATGCATTGAAGAAACAATCCTGACATATCCTTCACATCTACCCATTTCCTCAGAGAAAATGAAGAAAATGCTGATCACCATAAGCCCACTTAAGGGCTAGGAATCAGGATTCAGCCACTTATGCCACTTTAATAACTGCTTTTAGGAAAAATGAATTCAACTAAAAGAATTAATGCAAAAAGATTGAACACTGGGGGTACTAAATATAGGCCTAATTAGGACACACATATACACACATGCAATGTGAAAACAGTACAGCTCATTGGCTTTTCCTCTGATGTGCTTACTAGGTAGGTGTTTTTTTAATAGAATAAAAATGTTGTGAATATCATTGTGAATATTCAAATATTGGCTACACCTCAAAATGTGCTGCTTAAGAGATTCATGAGAAGCTACATAGTTTTCTTTAGTACAGATGCTCTTTATTCCCATCCAAACTTCCTGTTATACCACAGCAATAAATTAATAGCAAAAATTGGCCAATGGCACTCAAAACTTTATCAAAATGATGCCATTCATTAAGGTAATTTGCAGATATATTAAGACTATGAACCTATGATCTTACATATTTACTAACTGAGAACTAAATTTTGTTAGCAAAAGAATTTAAATTTCAAGACATGTCATATTTAGCATTCAGGACATATCCATTTTCTTTTTTATTCCAATCATCATTAAGATATTTCCAAATAGTCCTAGATTTCTAATAGGTTTTCTAAAGTTTCTGGAAGACAGTTTTGTCTATCTTTGCGTAACAACTTACAAAGGAAAACTCCATAGCTCGTTATGTAAATACTTGCCTAACTTTAAATGGCCCTCAAACGATTTGTTATGTAGTAGACCCTTGGTATCCATGGGTATATGATTCCAAGGAGACTGCCAGTCAGGAAAAAGTACACCATGCTTAAGATCAATAGGGTTCAGTGCTGTACTGCAAATGCTTGATCGATTTTCCCGTGATGCTGCCCAACTTCCTCTAAAGACATGTGACTTTCAACAAATCTAAACTTGTTCTAATTTTTATAATCACAGTGCAGCAACTTTGGGATTCTCAGAGATAAATTTGGAGTAACTCTGACTCAAAATTAGGAGATTCGGAGAAATTAAGAACTGTCAGGGAGAAACATAGAAAAGTTTTGAACCAAAAAGTGTTAGGTTTAAAAAATTTCCACAGATACTACAATCTAAACTGTTTAGAACTGCATAAATTTGAATTTATTGCAAATTTTATGAAAGTAAAAAGATTTTGTTAGGTCATATCATACTCGAAATACCTCTAATATTACTTGAAAGTATTAATCCTAATCTCATGCCTGCTAGAAATGGGTAAGGGAGACATAACTCTGTGATAAATTGACATTTTTAAGTAAGGAAACTTTCAGGGTGCCTATCTCTAGTAGGTCACATTTTCCTGCTCCAAATGTAAACTTTAATGTTGCAGACAGCCTCATTCCCTTTCCTGATAAGCTATTTCTCAAATATGAATGTAGATTAATCCTCTTTTAATAAGCATTAACTCAGCACAGATAATCAGAATATAAAAATTCCATCGAATCATTTAGTTGCTTTTGGATAGTTTTGTCAAATAATTTATATTTCATCAACAGCTTTAAAACCTATGTGTGAAATATTTACCATTTTATATCTTGCTCACTCATGTTGAATTGCTTATATTTACTGAGTTTTATAAAATGTTAAGCTCAGAATATTCATAAAATATAATTTACCCTAACTTACATTTATTTTCATTAAAATTTGATGATGTCCATAATCGCAAGTAGAATAAAATATATAGCATAACTTTGGAAAGAATCATGTATTCTTCATAAGGATTATAATAGTTACATATGTACCTATACAATATATAGTATATTACATATAATCCTCATGAAAACCACATAGCTTTTTTTCAGACATTTATGGTTCATTTTTATACTCACCAAAACTATTATAAATAGGACCAAACATGTACTGTGGGTTCAAAAACAAACCAATATTTTCTGCCTAAATTCTTTGCAATTCTGTTTAATTTGTAACAACTCAGGTACTGAGTTCTTCTGTCAATCAGGAATTCCACATGCAGAGACCAGATTGTTTAATTTCAATAAAAACAAAGGTAAATAACGCTGCAGGTTTCTGTATAATAGTTTCACATAGGATGTGACATACATATATTTGATACATTGTAAGAAACTGTTTAAATGTCACAATGTACCTGGACCCAGCACAACAATAAGAGAAACAGGTATAAGATAAAGGTATAAGATAAGGTATAAGATGAAGATATACCTTTCTTGTTTCGGCTGCCCTGGTTAGTTTCATTGCTATACTATCAATGTGTATTACTGTCTGAAAATTTTAAGTAAACGATAAACACAAAAATTAAAACAAGAAGTTTATGTGCAGGGCTGTCCTGGAGAACTTTCTACTTTCTGCTACATAAAGAAGCAAAACATGCAGATATGGTTCAAGTGGTAGAGAGCCTGCCTAGTAAGCACAAGGCCCTGAGTTCAAACCCCAGTACCGACAAAAAATGAAGCAAAACATGTTTAGGCCAAATTCTCCTCCCAGATGATTTAAGTGTATACATTTATAACTGATTCTTTTTCTACTTCTTTTTCTTTTTTTGACTACACTAAGGTTTGAACTCAGGACCTCATCCTAACCAGGCAAGTGTTCTACGACTTAAGCCATTCCACCAGCCCAAAATTTATAAATTTGGGTTACAACACAGAAATATCACAATGAAATATCCTGTATAACCATGTTAAACAAACAAAAATGTAATTTTTTTTCTTTTTCCAAAACAGAGAGCAGGAAGGCAAAGCAGGTCCTGTCTGGGGTAGGGGGAGTTGGTATTAGTGGGAGAGAGGAGAACATAAAGAAAGGGTACAGGAGGGTGAATATGGTGGAAATAAAATGTGCTCATGTATGTAAGTGGAAAAAGATACCTGTTGAAACCATTCCAGGAATGACGGGAGCAGGGACAAAGGAGAGTGATGGACGGGCGAATTCAACTATGATGCATTGTAAGAACTTTTATAGATGTTACATTGTGCTTCCAGTACAACAATATTAAAAAAAGAAAATTAAACAACAACAAAAACAAATCAAGCTTAACTTGTTCTATAATTCTACTTTTGGTAAATCTAGCTTTATTAAAAGTACATGCCTCCTAATATATGCAAATATGACACACGTTTAATTAGAATTGAAGTTTGAGAAAAATGAAGTATTTAAGCAATAAATTAATTCAAATATTGAGTAAGGATTAACTCTGTTTATTAAAACAGCTTTACTGCTGTCATAAATCAACAATTAGAGGCTGTAGATACATTATAGATTTTAGATTATATAAATATAACCATGTAGTGAAAAAGTGGAAACTTTAGACTTTTTATCCTGGGAGTGTAGTCACATCTCCTTAATTTTTTGGGTTTAGTTTTCGTACCTGTACCCTTCCACTTACCTATGTAAATAAAACATTACCCTTTGACTTTATTATAGCAGCTCTTTGAGTTGCTGTTCTTGTGGAAAATTATATTTGAAAATAGAAAATTTCCTTTGGGTATCAGAAGATTTACCATATTTATCATAGAACATTAATGGTTAATGTCTAGCTTGAATATGCAAGTATCAATTATATTTTGTTTCTTTATGAAAACCAAGATATAAATGGAGCCAATATGAACAAAGTATTTTCTCTATTATTAAAAAAACACTTAAAAATAGTCCACCATTAACTCTCTGTGTTGCTAAAATGCATTACTAATTCTTTATGAAATATCAGAAATGTAAACATATGACAAATAAATATCCACTGTTCATTACCATTTAAAAATCCCTTATGTTTTAAGTTCTATAAGACTATGAAAATTTTAAAAAGTTATAGTATAGGTAACTTTAGAGGGAAATATATAGAAGTTATTACAAGTCAGATATGTAATGCTAGGTACCTGTGGTTTGACAAATTTTTATTTGTTTCTTATCTAGAAAAGAACAGTTTTTGCTGGAAGGAAAATTACTAGCTGAATAGAAATCCATTTTGAGAGTCAGTCATCTATCAATTAAGTATAAAAGTTTTGAAAGGCCTCTCTCTGGTTTGGCCTTCTTCCAAAATATTTGAAGGACATAACACATTCTGAGTTAGCAATTCGACAAGCAGATAGATATCAATCACAATGAGAAAAAGTATTAGGAAATGTACTGTTCTTGTCAAACTCAAAGACCAAAAGATATTTTCAAATTAAGTGCATAAGTTTTGCAAAGAGAAAAAGAAAACACATATGTCTGATGTATTTATACTAAAACTATAAGCCTACCAACTATGAAAGATATTTTTTTATAAGGAGTGAGAGAAGGAAGAATGGAGGCTTAAAAGGAGCATTTCATATGTGGATGTATTAGAACTTTGCACTGAAGTGATATGCATAGTCTATCATTTATTATCACTAAAGACAAATGAAGAGATAAATACAAAATTGCCCCTGAATTAAATCAGTTCTTCCTTACATTTTATAAAATTTATAGGAGTGTGTCACAAAGTGAAATACAACATAGTGACTGACTAAACAGATGGCTCTTTAGGGATGAAGGCAAAGGAGTGGACTGCAAAATGAGAATGTGTGCTGAAGTATTGTCAGTGTTCAAGACTTCAACACTCAACAGTTATTCTTATGGTCAAAAAGTGATATGGTCAGAGCAAAACATTGAAGCACTTTGCTTATAATTGCATTTTACAGAAGAGGTTTTTAGAACAAGCCAAATTCTTTTTCTCATTTTATTACATTCCAAAAGATAAGAACTGTTCATAGCTTAAAATAGTTTCTTACCAGCATAATTACTGAGTCCCTTTCTTTTCTTTCTTCGCCAATACAACCAGATGCTAAAACCCATCAAAATAACCCAGCAAGCACCACCAATACCAGCTATAAAGGCTGGTTGCTTCACAACATCAGTGATTTGTTCAGTTATGCTGTTATTGTTTTCAGTAATGACAACTTCATTACGTCCTCCTGTGGAAGAAATAATGTTGTTAGTAAATATTAAGAGAAACACAACAATGCATGCATGGTATAACAAAGACATAGACAATCCCTTTAAACTCTGGTGATATATGTTCTGTTCTGCACTTGTCATAATTATTTATAAGCATATTTTGAAATTTTAAAAAGAAGAAATAGCCAGGCGCTGGTGGCTCACACTTGGAATACTAGCTACTCAGGAGGCAGAGATCAGGAGGATTGTGGTTTGAAGCTAGCCTGGGAAAATAGTTTGAGACACCCTATCTCAAAAAAAAACCTATCACAAAAAAGGGCTGGTGGAGTGGGTCAAGGTTTAGGCCCTATGTTCAAGCCCCAGTACCGCAAAAAAAAAAAAAAAAAAAAAGAAACAAATCATGTGTTTAAAAGTGGAACTAAGAACACTACTCTTTTCGTTTTTCTATGAACTTATTCAGAACAATTTCTTGATTTCAGCCTTATAAATAATTACTGAAACAAGCACTAGGAATTGAAACCACAACACATTTTCCTTTGTCAGGTAAAGAATTATTTAATATAGATCTCATAGAAAGAAACTACTATTATATTTAACATTGGTGTTTCTACAAATTATTTTCCTGCTATGACATTGCCTATATTGAAATGCTTACGTGGACATGGTTATACAACTTCTCATTACCCTTAATAGTCAGCCAAATAATTTCTTTTGTAGAAATATACTTAAATTTTGTGGGATGCATAAAACTACTATGTGCAAATGCAATTATGAAAACATCCTTTTACTGAGATGAACATGCATAGTTGAAGTGTTCCTAAAGGTAAAACTCATGTATTCCCCTACAGTGTTTGAAAGTACTCTGACTATAATAGAAAACTTTAAAATTAATTTTAAGGTCTTAGTAACTAAAACATACATTTAAAACTGGATTAAGATTATACTAGAAGCGGTCATGTTTAGAAATTTAAACCTCTCAGAGACAATTCGACAAATCTCAATCTGCCTCTTAAATAGGTCTTAAACTCATGGGATTCTAATATCATTGAAGAGCAAAGATATACATGCCTATTTAACAGATTAAGAAATTCAGACACTGAGAATTAAGTGATTTATACTGTCAATATCATATCTAGTTAGAATCTAACCAGACTTCCAATAGGTACATTGTAAGCAAAATATAAATGACACATTTCAGAATGTCACATCAAAGGAATGTGTGGAATTGTCATTGCTTTAGTTTTTTTTTATTGTTGTGGAGGTATACTGCAGTATTTTAGTTATTATAAAACTACAATATATCAGAAACAATGTGGTGTTTGACCTCCTAGTAGGAAACTATCTCTCTGCTACTGTCAGTTTCAGTTAAATGGCAACAATACTATCTACTTCATATATTTTGGAAGGATTTATTGAGGTGATGTACATAAAGAGAATAATAAGAACATGATAGTTTTTACTCAAAATTATGACCACATAATACTAAGGATTACTTTGAGAGTTTTTCAGTTAACATCACAGACACACGTGCTAAATTGTCCAGATTTCAGAAGTCTACATATCACGAGTGACTTGTTTACCACACTTTTTCTCCTTGCTTCCAGGCCAGAAACTTAGTCTATAGTTCTGAGTTTCCTTTGCAATTGAGTGCTACAGTGACTAAATATTAGCAAATAGTATGCAAGCACAAATGATGCACTGTACCTCCAAGTCTAACACATAACGCTGATTTGAAAATACTTGATACTCTTTTTTTCCTTCCTCATGTGTTAGACAAAAATAAAGTATTTGTTTGTGGATGGTGATTCCTTGAGATGGTAGAGCTGTTGTTAGGAAGAATCTAAGGTCCCCAAATAACTGTATAGTATAGAAAACCTACTCCCCATTCTCTTGACCCATATTAGATTGGGCAATTATAAGGAAAAAAAGTATTTTATTAAACAAATTAAAATGAAGGCTTATTTGTTATAGCTGCTGCCATATCTGCTATACATACTTATATTTCATTACTGAAAGGATTTTATGCTAGGTTACAGATTTAAAAACTACATTAATTTACTTAATAAACCTGTTCCCCCATGAGTGTGTCCATAACTACTATGCATAGCTATTATGCATAGCAAAACCTGTATTTAAGATTGCTCATAGGCTCAGTATATAACATAAATGACCCACACAATGTATGCACATGTGAATAAATGAATAATTTTTTAAAAATTGGAAAAAAATATTGTTTCTAAAAAGAAAACAAACACCTTACAGAGCAAAGCAAAAAGAAAATTTTCCATTTTTTAAATAAAGAGCCCATAAAATATTATATTTAGTATGGTGCAATATTCATGTTAACCATGGTGCAATGCTAGTTTTTATGTTGCAGTTATTTTTTAAACAATGTTGTCAGTTGGACTAATTAGAGCATAGACAAGAATGTGTGTGACCTGGTAACACTCCATTGTTCTTGCAGACAAAAAATATAATGAAATATAATGTCTCCCTCCCATTGGAGAGTAATGAAGAACAAAACTAATTTGTTGGACTAAAAATTAATTAGCCACATCAGGTTTCATTGTACCTATTACTGTGAAAGTTTGCAGCTGTTCTACATATTATTACCAACTATATACTGTAAGCATGAAATGGCCAAATGATTAGAGAAACAGTACCATTATTATTAAGCAAGAATACTGAAAATATTAAGTCAATGCAAATTTGTTATATGACATACTATTTGATGGTTATATACGTGAACATATTTGCTTGTATTTTTTGTCTATAAGTTTAATTATATACAATTATGGACAGTTTTGTGCAGAAGCCACTTTCCCACAGAAAAGTGCAAGAAAAGAATAATACTAATATTAAGATTATATGAGTTTTTGCATATTTTTACAATATTTTAATTAATGTTCCCTTCATGGGACTCACTGAAAGGAAGACTAAATTGAGAGGGAATAGAGAAAATTCTATGTACTCTAGCATAGGACAATTCTAAAATTATGAAGCACAAATTACACCAAATGCCAATCCATGATTTAATTAAAGCCAAAGGGAAAAAAGGTAGAGCTTCTACCACTTCAAATGCTGCTCCAGTACTGAATAGACAATAGAGAAAGCATAAATTGAAACAGAAAGCGATTGACTATCACTAAATCAGTATTCAGCTAAAGAATAACAGTGTGTAGATAGTGTTATCAGACAAGATGTGAAGGTGGATATGAAGGGATCATTAAAGAAACAATTAAGAAGCTTCTCAGTGCAACAGCAGATATTAAAAAGAAATAAATCTCTTCAGAACAACTAGCTGATTCTTGGTTGAACTGTGTTTATGTGTACATATGCAGTCATATCAGTAGCACAATTAATTGTGTTTTTATGATTATCTTTTGATCACAAAATATTCTAATTACTTGAAGAGGAGACAGAAAAATCACTTTGTACATTGTTTTTATTTTATAGAAAAATTTCATCAGCATTTATATACTACACTAAAAACTAAATTAAAGAGTACTCATAATTCATGTAGAGACCTAGTCTAAAAGAAGAGTTAAGTAGAAATTTTATTTGACTTAAAATAATCTGAATTAACTTTACTATTTTGAGCTGCTGTACAATTGCTTAGTGGATAGCTGTGCTTGCCATGACACGAGCTTGATTTCACTACATGCTTACAATTTTGCGTGCTTCCTAGAGCAATGGATTTCCGAAATGTTGTCAAACAAGTAGATATTCAGGAGGAAAATGTAAAAAAAAAAACTTGCCTGCCTTAAGAAATATACTTATCACCAAAGAAAAGAGAAAAATAAAACACAAAAGGGAAATATTTGGCAATCTCATTTATTTTTGAGCTATTCAGTCAATCCATTTAATATACATTTTAGAGCTACAATAAAACCCAGTTTATTTACTAATCTATGGCTCTCAGAGGAAATTATTCTTCTTAAAAATATACATTTGTGGGCTTTTTTTTCTTTCTTGTAGCAGGTCTCACTATATAGCTCAGGGTGGCCTTGAATTCATAATCTCTGCCTCAGCCTCTCAAGTGTTGGAATTTCAAACATGCAACCACACCTGACTATTTTATATACTTTATAAAGTGAAAAGTTGATGACTTATTTCTAAATATTACAAGTGAAATATATGTATATGTGTATATATATGTGCATGTACATATATAAGTGCATATAAATACATATATATATAATCATTTACATCCTCTTTTGGGTATACCTGTATTTCTTTCTTATTCCAATTTATTTCAGAAAATCTCAGAAGGGTAAGATTGTAGGTCTCCCTCAGGTTAAGGAATTAATTCTGTCTGAATGACTAATTAAGAAAGGAAAGAATTTAGAGAAAAAGTAATACTTAACTTTTTTTCCTCAATGCTTTTAATATATAAGACAAAGAAAACTTGAGTTTAACATTATGACTGAACCTTAAATCTTTCCTCTGCAATAAATTCTTTGTTAGAGAAATAATTGTACAGAAACTGGAAATATAGTCTGCATATGTCACTTCAGAAAATAAAGAGAGAATTAAAAGAATGGTTTGTGTGAACTCTGTGAACAAATTTTTTTTAAATATGCAAACTCTGGAAAGAATGTTTTAGCTTACAAAAACAATTAAAAGCACTGCCAAGCAAATATAGCAAGAAGAGTTGAAAAGGATTTGTCTTTTGAAAGAAAGGTGGTGTCCTGAAGGAAAGCTGCATTTAAGAGGCTTTCCTTCCCTTTGAGGAATCCTCAGTCTATGCAGTGCAGGGAAAGAAGTGCACAAGCTGAAAAACCCCATGGTACAATGTGTCGAAGTTTAGAGTTCAGTGCTGCCACAGTGACTGAAAATTGAAGGGAAATCCACAAGCAAGAGGAAGCCTGTGGAGAGTGATGGCCCTGTATTTGCAAATAATCACATTTTAAACCCCAAGATTAACTCTAAAGTGTGCAGGCAGGTGGAAGATTGAAGAGATATAGTAAAAGGCAAAAGCTAGCAGACTTACAGATTAAACAGCAGTTACAACTGATAACCACTGCAAAAAATACAAAGCTTGAAGTTTGAATTTCATCAAGTTAGGGAAACCAGATGAACACAGCAGAATTTTCACTGAAATTCCACATCAAATTGATGTTTTGCCCTAAAAATACGGTCAAAATATGAATAGTCTCATATTGATATCAGGTAAAGAACAAGACACAAAAAATTTAAGGTAATCAACCAGTAATATAAATTCCTACTGGAGCAAAACCCAACATTCTTCAGCAGAATACATAATTTTATAATGTGTCATCAGATAAAGTCCAATAGGCAATAAAACATTACCATACATGCAAAAGTGAACACATAAATAGCAACCACAAGCCAGAAAAATATGACCTGAGTTCAACTGAAAAAATAATTAATAAAAATAGACCATGAGCCAACATGGGTATTGAAATTAGGAGGAAAGTATTTTAAATGCTACTTACAACAAGGTTATGGGCTCAAACTTAATGTAGTAATAATAAATAAAACTATCAAATAATAAATAAAAATATCAAAGGGAAATGGAAAATATAAAAGACAAGGGTAATGCATAATGAATAATTCCTTGGGTACGTCTACACAAACTAACATCCTAAAGAAGACTGAGGATAATATGTGGAAATAACGGAGTGAGTGGGGTAAAATTGTGGTTCCAGAAAAAAAGGAGTGACAAGTGGGAAACCTCATTATTTTCAAAGATGTTATACCTGGAGACAATTCTCCAAAAGTGATGCAGTGAAAGGTTACTCAATGTTCTCCCTCATATGAGAGTTATAGACCTAAAACAAATGCAGTAATTATTATTGGACATGGGTCACACAGTAACAGGACACTATGCACTGGAGGGATAGGGGAAGGGAAGGAAACCTAAAACTTGAATGTGGTTGATATGCTCACTGTAGAGCAGCGAATATACTGACAGAGGCCACTATGAGAAGGAGACAAGGAAGTAGCAAAGAGGTCTGGCAGAGCTAAACCAACATGGGTTGTGACACACTTGTGCATGGAAGCAACACTAAGAATCTCTCTGTATAGCTACCTTTATTTCAAACTAGAAAAATGCTATGTCTTTCTTATTATTCTTATGTTTTCTCTTCAACTAAATTGGAAAACAAGAGAGCAGAACAGGTTCTGCCCAGAAGTTAGTGGGGAGGGGAGGTGCCCCAAATATACTCATGTAAGTAAATGTAAAAACGATAACATAGAAGAAAGAAAAGTAAATAAAGTCTTTAACAGACAAATGAAAAACAAATACGACTGAACATCATTTAAGGATGGAAGAGTTAGAAGTGTTTAGGAAGCTTAGGGATTGAATATATGAACCACAAAATCAAATAAATATGAATAGGGACTGGGGACATGTCTCAAGTAGTAGGACACTACTAAGGCCAAACAATGAACTGTAAAATAACTCTCTGCATTTCAAAGAGTAAATACACTTCACACATGTAATTATACTTCAGAAAACTGCATTCTCTGACCTCAATGGAAATAAGTTAAGAAATTACCAACAAAAATTATATGGAAAAATTTCCAAACATTTGGACATTATACAATATACTTCTAAATAACCTTGATGCCAAAACAGAAATCCTTAAGGAGAGTAGAGCACATTATCTATTCCATAAAAAATAGAAACAAAGTGTATTGATAAAGAAAAATGGTCTAAAATCACTGAGATATAAGAAGTATAGCTATCATTTAGTTAGAAACAAAACCAACAAAATCAAAAGTTTATACTTTAAAAAGATTAATAAAATTGATGTTATTATCAAGACTAAATAAAATAGGAAGGGGAGAAGAGGGAGAAAGAGACCAAAACAAAGAAAAAGGGAAGGAATGAAAAAAGAGGAGGAGAGAGAAGGTGTGCATAAATTCAACAGCTTAGATATATTTTACAAATTTCATTGGTGAGCAAAAACCAAAAATCAATGTACCACAACAAACCAAAGAAGAAAATTTGAAAAAAAATTCTGAATAGTTCTGCATTTATTAAAAATTTTTAAATTCACCAAAAAAAATCTAGCATGAATACCACCACTAAATTCTAGCAACTATTTAAGGAAGACATAATACCAATTCTACAAAACCTCTTAAAGAATATACAGGATGTAGAAATATTCCAACCCAATTCATAAAACTAGTCATCATGATTAATCACGACATTAGAAGAAAAAAGCTGCCAATCAATATTCTGATTATGTAGAGACTCTGGAAGTCTTTTTCCTTGCTGCTGGAAGTATAAAATTGTATCATCTGAAAAATGTTCATTTATTTCTTATGAACTCAAACTATAGAACCCTACTACCCAGAATTCCACTGTTAGATATTACTCCAAAAGAAATGAAAACATGTGTCCTTGAAAAGGCTTACACAAGAATGCATATTCTGTCAAGAGGAAAGCAGATAAACACAATGTGGCATATCTGTACAATTGAGTTCTGTTCAGCAGAAACCAGATGAACAGCACAATACTTCCATGGGTGAATCTCAAAAACCATTAAACACAGTGAAGGAAGCCAGAAACAAAATATGAAATTCTGTGTGATTCCATTTACACACATTTCAAGAATTAGACAAACATAATCTATTGTGATAGGGAACAATTTTATGTAAGAATGGTCATAGATTTAATATGAATTTCTTCTCTTCAATAGTATTTCTGGATTACAATTTTTCTTTTGGACTGCCTGTGGTTAACTTTTGACATTTTTCTGGCTAAGAGGAAGCATATGGCTTGGAGGCACAACACTTTCTTCAAAAACTTTTATTTTTGTTTATTTCAATGGCACCAACCTTACTAATGAAAGTTTTGACCAAAGTAATTTTCAAACCACCTTTTAGCATTTAAACACTTAGTGACTATAATTTTAGGAAGATTATGGGGGAGCACAAGCAATTGTACCAATTATTGTTTCAAGAACTCCTCCTCATTTAACACACTTGACCATATGGTGTGTGCTCCCCTATCACAAGTGTCTATCCATGGTTAGGTTATGGATTAAAAAAAAAACAGCAAAAAACAAAAAACATATTTTATTCTGCTGTCAGTACAGGCTACACCAACTGACACTCACCAATTATTATGGGCTGTGGTTCACTTTTTACTCCAACCCCTGCACTCGTGCTGGCTGCAACCTCTACCCGGTATTGAACACCAGGGAGTAATCCACCAATTATTACAGATCGAATCGCTGCATCCACAGTTTTGTTGATATGGAATCGTGTTTCATTTCCTAGACACCAAATCTGCAGAAATAGAAAGTGAAACAAATAAATATGAAATTATCCTTGCTGGTAATTAGGCTATTTTAACGCATTAAGTATTCATTCAAAGTTGCACAATATATTCTTCAGGCATATAGCAGTATTTGTATATGACGTTTTATAACCCAGCCTCTGTATTTCATTGATATGTGTGTGTGTGTGTATGTGTGTGTTAAAGGAAGAATAACAAGACAAAGTTAGAACTACGACATTTTCTTAGATCTTACTGTCATAATTGTATGTTCATACAGAGTAATTTGGAAGTTACAATGATTCCTTTCAAAACTATGGAAAGTTATCTTTGGTTGCAAATAGCATTTTGGTAGACATTAGGTCATAATTTTTTCTGCTTAATGTATCAAAATTTGTTCTCCACATAATCTGTTATAAATGTGGTGAGCACAAGTTATAGTATCTAAAGAATATAGGTACATATCTAAGTAATTTTGTTTCATTTAAGAAAATATTAACTTACACAGAAATAGTTAACAAGATTAATTGAGCTAAGTTATAGATATTGACTAAAGCAAAATTAAAGCCAATATTTACATTGACACTAATAAATTGTAATATCGATCAAAACATATCTGTACATGTGTGCAGGAGGACAACATGGTGGCAAGTCTTTTGACAATGATGTTAAAGAAAGCAGGCTTTTATTCCAAGTAGAAATCAACATTTAGACAAATTTCCTTTGAGAATACCAAAATCTGTTACTGTAAAATGGTCATTAAAAATTTCACTGTGGCCTGGCGTCAGTGGCTTACAGCTGCAATCCTAGTTAGTTGGAAGGCTGAGATCAGGAGAGCCACGGTTCAAGGCCAACCTGGGCAAATAGTTCATGAGACACCCATCTCCAAAATACCCAGAGCAAAATGTACTGGAGGTGTGGCTCCAGCAGTAGAGTGTCTACTTTGCAAGCACAAGGCCCTGAGTTGCACCAATAAATAATAACTGAATAAATAAATAAGTAAACTCTAATATGTACCTATATTTGTATTCATCGCAAAGACCATGTCATCATCTACATGTGGACACATGTATTGGAATACAAAAGGTTTGTTACTGACATGGGTAAGTTCTTGAAACTTTTTTAGCAAAATGATTTCTAGGAATTCTATTTACTCACATATGTGTTATCAATGGAATATTTAGCTCTCATCCAAATATATACTTCACTACCAAAATGTGACAGATTTGTAATGAGTTAGAAATTTTTTAATTTATGAGGAAATTCATCATATCATAGAAAATTATTAATATGGGAGTTTAGGATATTAAGTATTGGATGATACAAAAGCTATTCTTAACCGCATTAAAAAAAACACACACACATACGCCAATCTTCTATCACCATGTCTTCCCCTCCATGTTTCTAAACCCCACAATATCTTTCACAGAATTCTAGTAATGTCTGTTTTTAGGAGAAAGGCTCCATTCTCTAATTCTTCTCTAATTCTTTGAAGACCCTCTTCTAATTCTTTGAAGGTACTGAATCACACTATACCAGAAAATCACTCCACTCTTGAGGTTTAGTTATATAACTTTGTGTATATGTGACCTTGAAGTTAGGTTCTAATTCCCTATGCATTTTTCCCTTACTTAACATACAAAGATATACTTACTTTGGAATAAACTGAGTAACAGACAATTTAGGTTTATGTTCTGATCCTATATGACACTGAGTTTTCCGCAGGAGATTTTATCTGTGAGCATGCCTTCTTCACCCTGGCCTACCTTATATTCTTGGATGATTCCGTTCTGGTGGTCTGGAGGTGGAGGATCCCAGGAAACACTGATGCTTGTGCTATTGTGGCTTCCAACTGTCAGCACAGTGACAGATTGTGGAGGGGCACTTGGAGCTGCAGAAGAAATACATGGAGTAAACACAGACTCTAAGTCATGGTGTGCATTAATGCTGTCTTCAGATTATGAATATAAAGACAAAATGTGCAAAGTCCTAGATTGGAGTAGTTCTAAGTCTGCAAACAGTATTCAACAGTGGCCTTATTGTAAAAAAAATACACTTTAACTTAAATGCATAGTTTTAAATCCAACACAACATGTGAGGTAATATATACTTGATAAAATATTGAACAGCTAACATTCTAATAAGTGGATTTTATAAGATGTGCCCAACACTGGGGTAAGTGTCATTTTGAATTCTTCTACTAACCAAAGGATGTATTTCCATTTTACAAATGAGGAAGCAAACTACTAGGAGAGACTTATTGACGTGAATGGACAAATGAGAATTTGAGCTCAGAGATGTCTGATTCTAGAGCTTCGATTATTTCAACTCTAATAGGTTATGTTTCTGAAAAACACACAAAAAGTGATTCCAACCAAAAATATTCTGAAAACATACATCATGCAATTTTATCAGATATTACTTCTGAATGGTAGCACTTTTTTTGTATTGTCTTAGTTTGTGTTCACTAAATAAAAACAGAAACACAGCTATAAACTTCACTGACAATGAAAACCAATGCTTTTCTCTTAATACCTGGAAAAATAATTGATTGTTATTAACTGGTCCATAATTTAAGATTTAAAACTTATTTTGTATGGATGGGCAAGGAAACTTGCTATAAATATGAAAATGGGTTTCTGCTGGGTCAAATGTGAAATGGGCAGTTTTGATTTCCTACAATAATTCTCATCCTTTACAGTTTCTCCTGTAACTAATTACAACCATGCTGAAGAAAGATGAGTGGGAAGCAATTCCTGATTTTAGACTGCAGTGTCATCCATTGAGTGAACTGAAGAGCTAAGAAGTACTAAGTTGAATAAAAATTCATCTATTCTCAGTGAATCTCAGAATTTAAACTAAAAAGACACAGAGGAAAACCAGAATACTACATAAAATCCTTCATGACAGTTAAAAAATCAAAATATTTGTGGCATTGATAGATTTTTCTATAAAGGCATTAATGCTTTCCCAGATCTATACAATTCAATCTCTTGACAATAGCCTAAAAAATATTTTAAAGGCCCATTGATACCATCTCCAGTGCTTGGTAAATTTGTCATGCCATATTTCATTGAGATATGACCATATTTACATTGTGATACAGGACACAGACACATGCTAATACAATTTGCTCTTTACTGTTACCCTATGTGACAGAACTCCAAAGTATGGCATGATGACATAAATCTGACCACTTGACTACCAGCCTTGTAGTTATTAAGCAGCCTGCACTACAGAATAACAATTTTGAAACTGGCTTTTCATTCTCCTTGCAGCTGAGTTGGCAGGAACACCTTGCCTTCTTCCTGACAGATCAATTATTCCAGTGCTCAACTACATTTTATAGATGTGAAAGAACCCAAATCACTGCTCATCATTCCCAGACATAGTCCAGCTGAGTTCCATTTGTTACCTTCATAAGGTTACAAAAATCAGAGATGAATGTGTGCTGAGTGGTAACAAATGACTAATCCAGAGGAAAAGTCTCACTGCAGTGAAACTGGTTTTTGGAAGAATCAAACACAACATTATGTATTAAAAGAATCAACCCAACTCATTAACAGTACCAATGTTCAACATAAGGTAAAATTTAATGGTGGATAAAAATATTCTTATTAATTTTTGTAACTTTTTTCTTTTCTTCAGATACTCTAAAAGTAGACTAATAATACATTCAAAATAATATACTTCTGTCCATGTCAATGGACCACAATGTAAAACAGTGTGAAGACAGTATTTTTCTGTGTGTCATATTACAGGATATGCATAATTATAAGCTTTTGGGTCAAACATGAACAGTTACTTGTGTGACCTATATCCATTTTCTCAAAGCAGTTTTGAATATCATTTTGAATGAAATATGTCTACAGGAAAGGCTTTTTGTGGGAGATGTGCACACAAAATTAGTAGAAAGCAGAATTTGGGGATTGGATTTTTATTTTTCATTTCACTTTTTTACTTTGGTTTAAACCTGTCATTTAGTGAAGGAGCACCAGCAAATGGACTGGCTCAAATCTACACTAATCTAATAACTTGACTTTAAAATATCTGAAGTTAAAAGAAGTTCCAAAGTTGGGGGACAAGTTTAGTAGGAATAGAGAAGAGAGAAAATACCTATTGGAAACATGCATAGAGCCTTCCAAACTAGAAATTATGGGTCAGACTGGCAACACCTATAGCAAAAAATGACTGATAATATCAGCATTTACTATACCAGAAAGAGAGAGAGAGAGAAAGAGAGAATAATCACTATGAATAGCCTGTGCTTTTGGGTTTCCTATAGCATGTCTTTTAATATAAATATTTAAATACATACATTAAAATATAAACATATATGTATACACGTCTGTATATATATATTATGGAACTATAATCAAATTCAAGTGAACTGGGTTTTAGGGCTGTGGCTCAGGTGACAGAATGCCTGCTTAGCAAATACAAGGCCCTGAGTTCAAACCCTAGTAACACACAAACAAAAATAATTCCAAGTGCACTGAATCATATTAGGGGAAAATGTTTATTCAATAAAAATCAAATTCAGATTCTATTTTTAGAGGTTTTACAGTATTATCAGATTCTATGCAATTCTAAGGAGAAAATGACACTTCTAAGACAATAAACTCAACCTATGAAAATAATTGGTATAATTGAGGTATAAATTTGTTTTAAATTAGAAGTTTGGATATTGAACTTGGTGTGGTAAGGCACAACTATAATCCCAGTACTCAGGGGTCAGGAGAGAGAGAGAGAGAGAGAGAAGAGAGAGAGAAAGAAGAAAGAAAGGAAGGAAGGAAGGAAGGAAGAGGAAGGAAGGAAGGAAGGAAGGAAGGAAGGAAGGAAAAAGAAAGAAAGAAAGACTTGAAAACTGACCTTCTTCAGTGGTACGAATAGTTTTGGATTCACTATCCATTCCTTGGAACTCATTAAAATATGGTCGAACTTTAATTTCGTAAGTCACTCCCTTTTTCAGATTGACTAAGACAGCGCTTCGTTCAGTCGGGACTTTGGCATCTAAATTCTGCCATGAAGTTGTAGCTTGCAGGCCTGAAGTCTGACGATACATCACTCGGTAGCCTTGAATAAACTGGGGCTGACGATCCACCTGAAAAACAGCATTTGAAACTGAAGGGAAGTTTGTTAGGAACCAGGATGGGTCCATCCTCTTTCCTTTTTCCCTCTTAGTCCTCATAACTACTGTTTAAGTGATACCATGTCTTTCTTCATTTCCATACTTCTAATAACCTCCTCCAATTCTCAATTCAGGTTTCCCTAAAATTATTTTCAAAAAGAAGAGTGAACCACCTCTCTCCCCGGCTTAAGACCCCTCACAGTACCTAACATAGCTTGCATGGATTATTGCCAGTTGGTGCCAAGGGCCAGTCCTATCATTTTTCTAGCTTCATTTTTCTCATTTGTTTGCCCTTTCCTGCATTTAACAATTTCCATTTTTGTGGTTTTATATGTGCTGGGCCATTTATCAGGAATTTCCATTCTCATCTCTTTCCATTCCCTAATATCGTCACACACTCAAAACATATTTTGTTGAATTCCTACTAGTAAATGCCAGAAATTCTGCTGAGTTCTAGGGTTAAGATCAGCAATGGAGGCTTTGTCAAGCTCTTGCCCTCATGAAGTTTAGCCTCAAGGTGGAAGGTGATATCTAACAACCACTCAAACAATGATCAAGTTACAATCGTAGCAATTAAGCTTGAGTAAGTGTTGTGAATGAGTTGTGCCAGGAAGTAAGCAAACTTACAGCAGAGGGAAAACTGGTAGAGTCAGAAAGGGGAGATAATTTCCCCCAAAGAAGTCACAGGTTCTCCTCTGCAAGGAGATAATTATAGAGATAGAAAGCAAAAACTCCCCATGGGTGGAAAAGGCATATGACAAGAGATTTAAATTGTGAAGCTATATCTGTTTTAAATGCATGAAAAAGCTTATACCCATTACCAATGTTAAATAAAAGATTTTATTGATTTACCAGCTTTTTACAACTTTAATAGTTTCACTCAGTACATTTTGAAAGCCATTTTTAATAACAATCTGAGATTTGGAATTTGAAAATGTCTATCAAATAGAAGTTTAAAAAGTGTTTTTTTTTGCTTTTTAATAATTACATGAAAATCAAAAATAAAAATGAAACATGTTCTCATTATTTATTTATTTTTGGTGGAGCTGGAGTTTGAGCTCAGGGCTTCACACTTGAAAAGCAGCGCTCTACAGCTTGAGTCACACCTCTAATCTGTTTTGCTCTGGATTATTTGGAGATGGTGTCTCAAGAACTATTTGCCTCAGCTGGCCTAGAACCTCCATCCTCCTGATCTCAGCCTCCCAATTAGCCCGGTTTACAAGGATGAGCCATCAGTACCTGTCTGAAGCATGTTTTCTTTATGTACTTCTAGCACAAATATTTACAGAGGTTTTATAATTGTTTAAGTTTCATGATGAAAAATACTTTAATTTTTAAAAAAAGAATTTTAAGCCAAGTTATGGAAACAGCCGAGATGCCCCCCTACTGATGAATGGATCAAGAAAGTGTGGTATCTATACACAATGGAATTTTATGCAGCCTGAAGAAGAACGAAATGTTATCATTCGCTGGTAAATGGATGGAATTGGAGAACATCATTCTGAGTGAGATTGGCTTGGCCCAAAAGACCAAAAATCATATGTTCTCCCTCATATGCGGCCATTAAATCAAGGGAAAACACAACAAGGGGATTGGACTTTGATCACAAGATAAAAGTGAGAGCACACAAAGGGGATATGAGGATAGGTAAGACACCTAAAAAACTAGTAGCATTTGTTGCCCTCAACACAGAGAAACTAAAGCAGATACCTTAAAAGCAACTGAGGCCAATAGGAGAAAGGGACCAGGAACTAGAGAAAAGGTGAGATCAAAAAGAATTAACCTAGAAGGTAACACACATGCACAGGAAATCAATGTGAATCAACTCCCTATATAGCTATCCTTATCTCAACAGCAAAAACCCTTGATCCTTCCTATTATTGCTTATACTCTCTCTTCAACAAAATTAGAGATAAGGACAAAATAGTTTCTGCCAGGTATTGAGGGGGTTGGGGGAGAAGGAGGGGGTGGGGTGGGTGGTAAGGGAGGGTGTGGGGGGAGGGGGGAGAAATGATCCAAACTTTGTATGCACATATGAATAAAAAAAAAGAATTTTAAATAATATACACTGCATTGACTTGTTTCTATAAATGCTTGATTTAAACATAAACTATAACAGTACCTTCTCCAATTAACACCCCATATTAGAGTTTAATAGCAATACTGTAAGAAGCTTTAAACTTGACATATTTCACTGTAACATGAAATGTTAAGATTAATGGAAAAGATATGAAATAACCTCATTTCAGGAAAGTTGCAGAGAAAGGGGAAATAGAGATGGTGACAGAGATGGTAATTTATTTCAGCTTTTAAAATGTTTCTTAACCCAATTGTCAGTATGTTATAAACAAAGATACTCTTTTGTATATTAACTGCTAACATTTCTTTTTTTAGTTTCAGAATTTTTTTTTTAATGAAGGCAGCAAATCAATGAATGTTAGATGAAAATATTACCTTTAAAAAATACAAAGTGCAGAACTTCAATGAAACTGGAGTAGAATAAAAGAATATTTTCCTATGTTTGGTATATCCAAGCTAGAGCACTCCATTAGTTGGTGGGTAGAAGAGTGTGTGTGTGTGTGTGTGTGTGTGTGTGTGTGTGTGTATGTATACATATAATTAATCTTAGCCTCCCAAATGTGTCTTAACAAGTAAGAATTCCTTCACCCACTTGACAGCTTTCTAAATCTTAAAGATTTTCTGGAATTAGTGCCACACTCATATGAGATTATATCAAGAAAATGTTAGCCTGGGTCTACCATGGAAGTTTATGACCTCAGGGTCAGTCCTCCTTTATGCCACCAGTTTGTGTTTGTATAAACTGACACATTTTTTTAAAAATCAGTATTTATTCTGACATCATAAAACAAGGCAACCAAGAAGCAGAAAGTTAAATTTATGAGACCCAAAGAAAGATGCCTTTCATCAAAACTGTCAAAGTTCAAAAAAATCCTTCTAGCATATGTTAAAACAACATTAAGCTTACATTTATAAACTTCTCTGCATTTTCTTTAAGTGAATTTATATACTGAAAGAAACACATAACTCACAATAATAGCTTGTTAATACTGAAAGAAGCAAGCTGTGTTTTTAAGAAGAACATTAAGCAGCTGTTTCCAGATGAAGGGAGTGTGTAAATCAGGGTAAATTGGTTTTATCCATGTTTGGTTTTCATTAATTAAGTGTTTTAGGGACTTTATGAAGCTAATGTTTACTACACAGCATTGCCTTGCTCACTTCAGTGAGCACTGCCTTCAACCAATATGTAGCAATGGGGTAATGGCCTTCTTAATAATGCAATCGTTTAACTTAATTTTGTGCAGTTGCAAGGCATTATTGGAAGGGAGGAAATTTGTTTTCACCAGTGGAAGCAAAAATGAAAATGCTAACATTCCCTTAAAAAAATAGGTGTACTTGTATAGCACACATGCTCTGTACCACTAACTTTTGGAGCTCATTTTGACAGGTGATCATTTTCAAGTTAAATCAAATGCTTCTTAGTACTTTTATTAACATTCTGATTTTAGAAGGTGTTCTTTTTAGAGTTGATTACAATCAGAGTCTAGCCACAAATTTAGAGTTATGTAAAACATGAATGAAGAGAAGTAAATGACGAGAAAACTTCAGACTTCCAAACATAAAGCCTCCATTTGAATTAGAGTTCAGACTCTTAACCTTCCTGAGCCTCAACATATTTCAGTTGCTCAGATAATTGCGACATCACAATGGCACAGAAACTGTGAGATGATTAATTTAAGTAAAAGCACTTTATTAGCTTTAGAGATGTGCAGTGATGCCACAACTTTGTTTAAAGGAGGAACACACTAAAAACAGGGAGGAGAGTATATGTAGCCCTCAAACCAGCATTTCCATTGAATATCTTAAGTGAGATACTAAACAGTTACTCTTTTCAATTTGAAGAATAAGACGAAAACTAAAACCTCCGTCTAAGCTGGAATTTCAATGTAAATTTTCTTTGATGGGCTGAGCTGCTAAATTACTGATCTCGTTTTAGTAGATTTTGAAAGTTGAGTTTGAGAAGCATTCTTTTCAATCCTAGTATTGTGATGCTTAAGAGGCAAAGGGTCTATGATTCTTTCTGTCTTATAACAGCAACAAAAATAAACTAAAATAATCATTATTTAGAGTAACATACATTTCTCTTTATATAGTAGCTGTTATCTTAAAATTTTTTGCCTGCCTTCATTGTAACAACGGTCATTTTTAGAAAGTAGCCATTGTTAATTTTTGTTGCTGTAACATGAGCCTGTGGGGAGTAGTTTTTTCCAGTACAAACTTCATGTGCTTTTGATAACGGAATCCTGAAAACTGTTGGTGAACCACCTCAGTTGCCCTCAAATCTTAATATGGGCTGAGAGAATATATCCTGTCCTTCAAATCTCAGCACACCTGTAACTCGAATACCAACAGTGTGATAGTTTAAATAAATGGTACATTTAGCAATTTGGAAATATTACCTGAAAATAAAATAGTAACAATTTTTCGGCGATGGACCCCACCCTCAATCTGATTTTTCTTTCACTGAACTGACTTGCTTCAAAGACATTGTTAACTCATATGAGAGTATAAACTCGTGGGGAACAATACCAATTGAATTGTTTATGTTTTCAGACTAAAAATGATGTAGAAAAACAACTTAATAGAAGGCTATTTAATGAATATTTAACAATAGACATTCTGCTGTAGAAAAAAACAGAAAAGAAACAAACTCTAGACTCAGAGAAGTCACTGTCCATGAAGGAGATAGATATGCAACTAATAATGACAATTCCTTTCCTGGAGGAACTCTCAGTTGACTGCCATGCAACTTTGATCTCATTTTACACACATAACTTAGCGAATTTTAAAGTGATTAACTCCATAAACACATTGACCTCATTTCTTACCCAATTATTTTCCTCACTTAGAAGCAGCTTGAGAGAAGCCCCCTCAGAACTCCCAAAATGTTTACAGTTGAGAAAGAGGAAAAAGACCAATGAAAAATACAATTATTTCCTTGGCTTGGTTGGTTTTGTATCTAGTTGAAGACACTGAAAGATTGAAAAAACATGGCAGATACTCCCTCACTGAGACAATGGAATAATGATGAAAGAAGGAATTATGTTCCCCTCATGGGAACACAGGAATAGAAACCATTATATGACAAACATGGAATACATTTGTACAAAATTATATAAAAATGGAATTAGAACTATTATAATCCTAAATAATCATAATTAATCTTGAAACATTTTGAGCTTAGTTGTACTTTTTTAAAGGATTACCCAATTTTGTACTCATCAGCCAGAAATTTGATTATGTGGTGTGATTTAAGAAGTAATGGATTGTACCACCCAGAATCATATGCAGAAATTCCTGCCATTAACAGATATTCTTTTCAACTAAATACTTATTTATAGTTTCTGTTTTTAAGTAAAAGCAGATTTAAAGTCAGGGAATTCTAATCTGATATTTACCTATAAATATACTTGGGACATTATGAGTATTATTCAATCTGTTTGCCGTAGTCATTTTATAAAAGTGTATGACTGGAATAATCAGCTGTGTTATTTTAGTTTCTCCTGTTCTTAGAAAATAATGCCTCCATATATCCTAATCTAGCTGTAGAAGAGTGATGATGAATATTAGGTCTCAACTTGACATCATTGATGCCACCTTAAACTCTGCTGACCCTAGAATTGTTTGGCTTCAGTAGAGACAGCCCCTCCCAGGGAAATGTCTTGTTTCCCAGCACCTGTGTCAGAACACAAGACCTACTCCTTGACTACCCCCAGCACAATCCTATTTTTGCCATCCATCCATTATTGAAATGTCCTCTTTCCCAGCACATGTACCAAAACACAAGACCTAGCTCCTCAATGACCCCTAGCAATACACAATGAACAAGCCAACACTTACCAGGTCCTTCCTCTCCTGTAAGACCCTCTCTACAAGAGTGAACCATTTCTTTGTCTCTTTTTCATTTTAACAGTGACTTTTTTGGTGCCTAAGACAGGGTTAATCACTTCTTTCACTTAAATTTTTTTGTGTACAATGTGCATTAATCTGTTATGGCATTTTTATCATGTGTATTGTCATTAAGAATTTGCATGTATCTCTCAACTAGGTTTGTGCCCCATAAATAGCACTCCTCTACATCTAGAACATAATTGATTCTCAAAAAGTGCTAACTGAACTGAATTTATTCAATGGAGTAATTATTGAGAAGACATCAGAACAATTCCCTCCATTGTATTTTATACTTCAAACATATCTACTCCAGAGCTGAGAAAAATAGCTAGTTTTTCATTTTCAATCCCATTAGTTGAGAGAGTTGAAGGGAATGAGTGATAGACCTGTATCCCTAATTGACTTGGACTCCAGTGGGGAGAGAAAAGTAATGCTTTACACTCATTGTCCTCCTTCCACGTACATAACAGCAAAACAATAACAACAGAGACACAACTACAAATACAATCTAAATAAATAGTAATTAAAGTGAAAATTATTCCAGGGACACCTACTCAAATTACTTACAAAAATTCTGCCACATTCAGAGGACTTTAAGCAGGTGCACTCTTCTAACATCCTAATATATTTCTTTATTCATTTTTAGAATTAACAATGGAGAGGGCTTAGATATAAACAAGGTGTTTGTGCTAACTATATGAGTCACAAAAATAGCATATATCTCCTCTCTAAACAGAGACATAGACATACAAGTATTAGTGCTCTCTAATAGAACTAATACCTTATTTTTGTGCTACCTATTGTTTTCATTGCAGTGGTTACCAATGGATAAAATATTTTACATTCTGAAATAACAATGTGCCTTTTGACACATTTAATAATGCATGGCATATGAACTTTCTCAGCAGATACTGAAATAACATTTTTTTTCTTAAAGCACACTAATTTTCTTTTTTTTCATTTTTATTTTGGAGGTACTACAGTTTGAACTCAGGGCCTATTGTTTACAATAAAGGCACTCTACCACTTGAGTGACACTCCTGCATAAAAACCACTAATTTTTTTATTGTAAATGAAATTATTAAAATGACATTAATATTTTGTAGTGATGCTATGTAAGTTTCAGCTAAAAGAAAATAAAGATGGTTGATTTAAATTTAGAAAATAACTTCACAAACATTAAAATATTTTTTGCTTCAAATAACACCATCAGGAAAATAAAAGCAAATCACAGACTAGAATTATTTGCTAATCATACATCTGATAAGTGACATATCTAGAATATGTAAAGAATCCTTAAAACTTTTTAAAAAGAAGACAGATAATCTAAATTGAAAATCAACAAAGAATTTGAATAAACACTCATCATAAATAAGACATACAAACAAATGCCCAATGAGCACATGAAAACTTAACTGTGTCATTAGTCAATCAGGAAATGCAAGTCAGAATCACAATGATATATCTCAACACACCTAATAGAATAGCTATTACCAAAAAGATACAGAATGATAGGTGTTGATGGGGATGGGAGAAAAACTGAAAGGATTTGGAAAAACAACATCAAAACATTGCTGGCTAGAATACAAAAAGTATGACCATTTAAAAAGAATTTTGGCAGGTCATGAAAATGTTAAGTGGGGAGTTACAATATTACACAATTCTTGGGTGTCTGTCAAAAGAAATGAAACTGTATGTCCACACGAAGACTTGAACACAAATATTTGTGAAAACGTTACTCATAATAGCGGAAAGTTGAAACAATCCAAAGGACCATCAACTGATGAAGGGATAAAGAGAATGTGATACATCCGTAAAATGGGACTTCTAGATTTAAAAGGTACAGAATGGAATAGAATAATGGTGTATTGTAAGCAACAAAGTACTGATAGGTTCCATAATATGGATGAACTTCAAAAACATTATTCTGGGTGAAAGACGAGATACAAAAGATGTCACGGTATATGATTCCATACATATGAGAGGTCTAGTATACCCAAATGCATGGATAGAGAGTAGATTACTAGTTTCATAGGTTCAAGATTGGAGGAAAAAGGAATGATTACTAACAGCCTTGGGAGCTGATTTGCATTTTTGTTTTGTTTTCCTTAATTAAATAGACTAGATTTCATGCAGACTTGGCTACTATATGTAAATCTGGCCATAAAACCTAATATAATCTTTGAAAACTCACCGTCCATGTGACCTGAACAGTAGTGGGAGTCAGTACAACTGGAGTATGAAGACGAACAATGACATCTCCCAGTTCTTTCTGTACTTGTCTGTGGTCCACTCCTTGTGCTGGTGGGCTGATATCTGCGGTTAGATAAGATAACCAATCCCAATTTCAAAAAATTATAATAAAATTACAACTTATTTTACATGAGCCTATATTATGCATTTAGAACTAATTATAGAAGGAAATTAAAATTTTGTGACAAAAAGCATTTAAGCATATATGTATACACATAAAAGGTCTAGAATATGCATATGTATATATATACATATATATGCATATAGATACATACATATATATATATGCAGACATATCTATAAATTCCACAATGGTGAGACATAATTTGAGAGATATTTATCATCATCAAAATGTATTCACAACAGAATGCTTACACTCCCTCACCCACCACTCAAGTACAGATACATTGCTGTGGAAAAGCATTAGAATGATCATTTTGAAAGGGTAATGTGTGTGTTCTACGACTTCTCTGAAATGACAAATTGCAGACTTTTAAATTCATCAAACTGATATTATATAGATATTGGTACACTGAAAGATTTTCCCGTGTAGTAAATTGGAACATGTCTAAAAACTGGAATTAGGAATTTCCCAATCAACAGGCTGTGTTTTCCTACACTTTGAATAAGTTCAGTCTGGGAACACGGACAGGAAAGAATTTGAGAAACTGGGAAAGTGAATTATGTCATTAAAAGCAAATTGAATAGAGGTAAGAAGAGAAAGAGCTCCTCAAATTCAGACAAAGTGATAAATTTAGAATACAGATAAAAATGCTCCAAAGTAATACAATTCGGCCATAAGTCCAATATCTGAAAAGAGATCAGACAGCTGCATTGGGGGGAACAAGGGGATACAAGAAGAAAGAATGACAATATTTAGACTGTTATGTACTCTGCCATACATTGTTACATCTCCTTATTCGCCATTCACCTAAATACTACTGTATTGCCCCATGCAATAGTATATGTTCGGTGTCATTAAGAAAAAATGATAAATTATATGCATTTAAATTATAGGATTTAAATCAAATTGACTTCTTTAACTGTTATACTTCAATGTTATGGTGATTTTTTTCTCAAACTAAGGAAGGAAGTTCAACTTAAAATGATTTATTCTTAATCTTTTATACTACTTTCTGAGGTAACAATGTAACATTCTTGCAGGAGTATTTTTAAGTGCATATCATAACTATAACTTAATTTGAGTAAACTAGCTCAAATTTAGGCATACTTTAGAGATAATGTTTTCATTTCCACTTTTTTCATCCTCAACATAAACAGCAAAGTAAAGTATTAGTTGATTTAGGAAAAAAGTTTCCTTTATGTGACTAATATTAATCTTTGCTGATATATATATATATGATATATATATATATCCACACACAGACGTACATATATATGTATGTATATGTGTGTACATGTGTGTGTGTTGATGGAATGACTATTTAGTAACCTTAATGAAATACAATATTTCTAGATTCTATAGTATTTAATATCTTTGAAAAAATAAGCGCTCATAAAACAAAGTGTCCTTTGAAAAGTCATGCTTTGCAAAGCTCAAAGCTGCTGAAAGTGTGGTATCAAAAATGATTAAGACATTCAGACACAAAGTGAGTTTTCCTACTAAATATCTGTGAAGAGTACATAAGTATTTTACTCTGAATAGTCTCTCAAGTGGAAAAAGCAAGATCACAAACAATTCTTCATTAATCTTTTTTTGACCTTTCCACTGAGAGTTATTTTATGAGTCAAGATTTAGTGACTGGCATACATAGTGGATGTTTAGGAAGGTCTGCCAGACTTAATCATATCCTAAGTCTTCCTCACTCTGTGATTCCCCTAGCATACCTTGAAGCTATGTACAAAAATTATTTGTATTCACACAGGTATAAATTATCTAGGTACTATTATTTTTTGACTTAAAACTGTATACCTCTTCCATTTCATGTTCAATAATTTAATTTACTCATTAAATTCAAGCACAATAAAAGCAAATGTATCTAGGTAAGGTAAAATATAACTACTTTCAGGTTTTCAAATTCTTTGTTGCGCTTTTTCTCTCCCTGCAGACAGGTTCTTTACCTGCAGGCCCTTTATCATCATGGAAAATTAATCACATTCCTGCTTAAAGAACAATAGCAAAGTGGCATTCCCTCCTCCCTTGACTGTCATCATGTCAGCAACGTTACAGTCACATGGCGACTTTATTTCACTTGATTTCTTTAAAGCACCCTTCTCTGTTATAATGGCATGTTAGTTACTACCACTGAACTACATTGTAATTATAATAATATTTTATGGCTGCATGGTGCTTTTCATAGCACAAAAATACTACTTTGAATTATATCTTGTTCAAAGCCTTTTACATATTAGAAATAATTAACCCTTTCTTAAGAACCCCATGGGTTCTGTACACAAAGGCACCATTTTCTATTGTATTAATTCCCCTCACCCTCTATTAGAAAGGAAACTACAATGTCGCAGTTACATTAAAACTCAAACTCCAGTGTTCTCAGTACCAAGAGACGGGTTACTAAAGATAGTAGGAGGAAATCTTCCATTTTGAAGTTAATTATATTTTAATATTCTGGGGAGTTTTATGTTAGTGGAAATAATGCTGAACTTGGAAAGAAATCAGTGATTTACTGTTTTCTGAAATAGATTACTATTTAAAACAACCGATTAAATAAAATGCATTGAAGAGATGGTTGTTAAACTTTAGCACTGGGAGGGCATGTTAACATAGACACAGGCCTAACTCCAGGTTTTTTTGACTTGGAGCTTAAAAATCTGTGTTTCTAAAGTTGCAGGGAACACAGATGCCACCTATTCAGAACTTACACTCTGAGAGCCACTGCACTATAGTGGAGGAAATGCAGGAAGTAATTTTGACACCCCTATCTGGGCCATCTATCCATTAAAGATCTCTTCTTTCCTATTGTATAACTTATATAAAGAAAGAGAAACACCTTTCCTCCACTGGAAATATCATGAAGCCCTAACTGAATTGATTCACTTTTACTACATAAATGTGCCCAGCTATTGTTTTAATTGCATATATCCAACATTGAAATCTGTCAAAGTCATTTTAAGAAAGGAAGAGGGAGAAGGAGATTAGTGGAGGGGATAAGCCAAACCGGAGTACAATATATGTACACATGGAAAAGTCACAACAAAACCCCCTGTACAGCTATCATATGCTGATAAATACATTTCAAAGTTTGCATAAATCCTGAAAGTTCTGGAAAAAGGACACATCTTAGAGTGAACAATAAACTTTCTTCTCTTTCACTGGATAAATTCTAGTGACTCATTCTAAAAAAATTAATGCACATGCAGTTAGTTTTTCTCATGCAACCTCTGTTATAGAATGATTGATGATCCCTTCTAGAGCCAGCCAGGGTTAGAGACATTGAAATTACCTTGTGTGCGCACAGGATCTGACATAGAGCTCGGATCACTGAGACCTTGAGGGTTGATCGCTCTGACCATGAACAAGTAGATTGTATTGGGCCTCAGTCCTCGCACAGTGTACAGGGTGGTCTTTACATGGTTTGCCACTGTCTGCCAGCTATTGCTCACTGATTGGCTAAAATATGAACAGAACAGTCATGTAAGGAATGGTCAGAAAGCCATTGGAAATGGAATTGGGTATCAATGACAAAGGTTAATGGCTGAAAATTAAACATACACACACACAACACTTGAAGTGTTCAGCCCAATAAATGAAACATTTGGATGATTTCAGTTTATTCAACAACAAAGCCGAGCCCACCTAACGGAAGTGCCATGCACAACAAAATTAAACTCAGCCCAGGAGATGTGAAAGCCCTTTGCTAAATGCACAGCAGCCCACTAAATGAATACCTGTAAAAGGAACAGAGGCCAAGATCACAACATCAAGTTTATACAATAAATATGGTCCTCATAAATGCATATATATATATACCTTGAAAAGAATTAACCTGCAGAAAGAATAAATGGACTACAGAGTAAATTATGCCAATACATTTTCCTGTTACAAGGTGTGTTTTCTTTTGCATCAATTCCACATGCAATATTACAATAGAGCCTTCTAAAACTACATATCTGTAAAAGAAGAAAGGAAGCATGTAATGAATATTTTCCCTTGGTTACATTTTTAATAAAATTGTACATTACACAGTGCTGTGATTTCTCATCTCAGAATAGTGAAATACCTCTGAATCTGTGTTTGTAGACCCCTTTATAGCCATCTACAAATGGCTGACATTTTCAAACAATTTTTCTAAGGCCACATGCTACTTTTGCTCAAAATAAGGGGAAAACGTGAATTTCAGGAATTTTTGTTTATATTTGGTCATTTTAAGCAGCAAGGCACGAATGTATAGAAAAATATTATTCTGGAATTTGAAAACCATTTACCTTAAGTATAGGTTAGAGAAGCTAAAAATGAAAGTGGTCACTTGTCCTAATGTTGACAAATGACAATGTCTATGTTTCAAACTATACAATGTCATATAAAAGCACAATGAAGCAGATTCTGAAAAAACACTGAATACATTTTCCAATATACATTTTATCAAACTCATATAAAGCAATTTATAATTATATTTGCTAATTTATCATCAATAAACACTGCATAATTCTTAAAATGCCTTGCCTCGTTACAGTATTTTCTGCTAGTTCTAATGTCCAAATTCTTACTTTAAATACACACATTTGTCAGGGTACATAAATGAATGCAGTGATTATATTGTGAAGTAGATACTTAGAAACTTAGGCATGGATAATGCATATTTAACCTTATGATTAAGTTATAAATGAAAAAGCAAAGTCTGTTCTTGAAAAAGTAGGATATAAAAGATAAATTCTTAAGATGCATAGATTGAACTTGCCCTTAAGATAAACCAGAAGGATAGCTGAGATAAGATTTTAGGATATAGGAATTAAAGCAAAAATCTAGGGAGTGAAAAGAAATTGCCCCGTACCTGAAAGCCTCAATGATATATGCACTTGCTGGAAGAGTTCCAGGAGTACCTGGTTGCCAGGACAAGGTTACACTGCTCTTAGTAACATCAGTGACCTGTGGTTTGGATGGTGGCCCTGGCAGGTCATTTAAATCATAATTTTTACTCATTGTTGCTCCAGATTCTATGGAAGACAGACAGAGAAAACTTCATTCCTGACTTCATAAGCTGACAATGGTACTTAAAAGAAATAGTTCATTAAAGGAGTTGACTTAGGTGCAAGAAGTTCATCTTCATAAATCAGAAGGATATGAGCAAATTGCTGCTTCTCCTACATGTTAATAAGTGTAAACTTTACTTTCACACATGGTTACTAAAATGCTTGTACTTTTGAGAAAATAAAATAACAAGGTTATCAAAGACAAATGTATGAAGTTCTGCAAATGTAATGACATGTGCCAACTGGTACAGGAATTAAAAAATCGCATTAAATGTAAAGATTTAGACTTAGGTGAATGAATTTCAAGTCTTGATGTCTACTTAAGTTTTTACTTGGTATTGAGCTATCATTAAAGGTTTTATGATTCCTGCTTCCGAGATAATTCCCTGAGAACTTACCTGTCACATCCAGTACTGCACTCCAGGAAGTCTCGCCACTTGAACTTGTAGCCACACAAGTGTAAGTGCCAGTATCAGAAATCTAGCAGACACAGAAAGAACAGAATTCAATTGTAATCAACTTGGAGAATAATTGCTCAATTTTGAGCAATTTAAAATTCCTTAAAGGAGATGAATCATTTGGCTGTCCAAATTATGCATTACGATCATCTGTATGCACGAAATATTAGGATGACCTCATACGATGCTTTTCACTACATTGATTTGAAAATTTTTAAATCATATTGCTAAAATTAAATAGTATGTCTGATAAATTCTATTTGTTCCTTTTCTTTCCCCATGGTAATTTTTTTTCTTATTATTGTGGTGGGGGTACATTGTGACATTTACATAAGTTCTTACAATATATTATAGCTGAGTTCATTCTCTCCATCATTCTTCTTTATCCCCCCCTCTCTCCGTTCCTGGAATAGCTTCAACAGGTCTCATTTTCCCACTTAAATACATGTGCACACAGTATTTGCACCATGTTTGCCCTCCTATACACTTTCTCCACATCCTTCCCATTCCTACTGGTATGAACCCCCCCTCCTCCAGAAAGGACCTGTTCTGCCCTCCTGTTCTCTGTTTTTGTAAAAAAAAATGACATTTTGTTTGTTTAAGATAATTATACGGGGAATTTTCTTAACTCCATTTTACAGTGGGATAACATCAGATATAGGCAAGGGAGAATTTACTGAAAATCTTATAAGCTTACACAGGATCAAAAATACAAAGCTGCCCTTTCTGTCTCAAATAAACCAATTTTCAATGGAAACAATGTATCCAGGAATAAATACACCATTAAATATTAGGGGCACATACTCCTTTTAAAAAAATGTTGAGAAAAATAGAGGACTGTTTTTAAGAAAAAGAAACTAAATGTTTCCCTTTAAGCTCAGTTCACATATGTGTAAACTGAGGCAGCACCAAATGAAGTTGTACAATTTAAAAGTAAACAAACCTGCCTAAGGAGTCACTGAAATTTGGAGCTGAAAGGGACCACAAACATAGTTTAACTTACAACTCTTTTCAAGCACATTTAAAAATTATCTTTTTAAATAACATCAAAATGTTTTTGATGTTCATGAAAGGTACCCAAGAATTATTAGAAAGACTTGAAAAGATAATTAAGAGCTATCTTTTATGAATATAAAAGTTAAGATTTTTCTGTGAGTTTACCTTGGAAAAACAATCCACAAGATCAATAAAATATAAAACCCCCAAATCCTCACTACTTGTGGGCTTATGTTGCAAACAATTCTTTGCATCAGTTTTGGGGTGCAGGAAAAGTGAAATTTTCAGGAGAAACTGATGAACAGAAAAGAAGGCAGGCAGAAGATGCAGAATTAAAATTCTAAGGTGAACATGAGTTTAACTGTTGCTGAAATATGGAAGTTCATGGGATGTTATATCTGTTGGGCTCAAAATATGTATTCATGAGTCAAGGTTTCATAATTCAGAATCAGGTAAATCACTAGTGCAGGTATGTTACTGCCATCACAGCATTTTAATTGATTTTAAATATCATTATGTATTTTAACAAGTTTCAGATTGCTCTGGCATGCCATTCTTTGCCATATTATCTCCGTGCAATTGTCTTTCTTCACAGAGGGATGGTGGGAATAGCCAACAGAGAATGAGTCATCCTTTCAAATGTTGTTGTGAGTGCATTATAGTCATTAGGAATCTTTACATTTAAGAAGCATCACTCACAAACTAAATATAAGGAGTGGAGGCTGGATTTTAATGGGATCTTTATTTGAATATGGACTGTGAAAGAGTATAAGAATTTACATTTTATTATAGCTGTTGAACTAAAATGTAGTACTTGTTATTTCATGCAAGTGCTGAAAGAAGAGTAAGTAGGTAATGTTTCTTAACTACATCTCCTTGTCATTGCATGGAGATACAAGCCTGACATTAGCTGTGGTAGGTAGGTTTTAATGAGTCTTGGAATATTTTACTTCTCAAAAGATACAGATCCAGTTACCAATTAGCTGGACTATGAGAACACAGTATTCATCATGTTATTTTTTTCACTTGCATTAAGTACTGAAAAAGAAATAGTAAGACACAAAGGAATATGACCTACTGAAAACCTCTCTCAACAATATGAGGGAAGTACTAAAGGCTATTTTAGTCTCCCCTTACAGACAATGATCTTACAGAAAAAGAACACTGTGTATTTGGAGTATATCAAAAGTTATATAATATCAAATGCCTAAGTAGCTTGCTGAATCTCATATTTGTATCACCATCATCATCATCACCATGTTCTTTTTATTATTTTAACTCTAAATAATGTCTTTCTGGTCAGGACTGTTCATTTCTTCTCCATGCTTAGCCAATTGCTTTAAAGAGGGATGAATGTGCTGGCATACATTGTCACCTACTTTTGTCCTTGTGCAGTTGGGTGCAGACAAGCCCTCAGGAGCTAGCATCTGACAGACACTACTCAGAAGCCTGTTAGAGGGCTCAAAGTTTGTTTGACATCATCATGCATCCACCTTTAATTGCTTGCTTCAAACTAGGAGTCTTGACTATTCAAGCACACCCTTTAACTCAGCAATACAGTGAAAATCCATTAACCTTCATAGCCCAAGTCTGCCTTTAGCCCAGAGAGAAAGGTTAAAGTGTTTACGCAAGGAACATTGGCATAAATTTTTTAATAACTTCCACAATGTTCTAAGAAAGTTAACTACTAATTTACAATCAATAAAAAGGCTGACTAAAGACAGTCCATATTCATTTATTTTCCTTTAACTGAACTCAGTAGCAGTTTTTCTCTTAAAGCAATGATTAATGCCTAATTATTAAAGTTAGAATTTTATATATATAATAATATTAGTGTATTAAAATTTTATTTGAGTTTTTTCAAAGAAACATTCCTCCATTTAGCATAATATATCTATATATACATATAAAGTTATATATATCTGTATGATAAGTTTATAAACAATCAGATAAACATATAATTATATTCCATTATAAGAGTAAAATCTCAGTAGAAAATGTGTGCAGTAAAATAGTTTTGCCTTCTTCCCTGTTTTTTGAATGTGAAAATTTGGCAACATTGTTTTATTTTGCTACTTCTTCATCTTGCTTTTGAATTTTTACCAGAGCACCAGATTCTACTAACTGTTCTTCTATTGAATTGTTTTCAATCAATTTTTCTGCATGTCCTAGTATATCAGCTATCTCAGTTGTGGCTCTCATCTCCAATACTGTGATTACTATATTATCCTCTCCAGCTTTGGTGCAATGCTTTGCTACATGGGGTGGGCAGGGATAGAATGACTGAATAAGTAGAATATACTAATAGTGGGCAGATAACACTCATGAGAACCATCTACCAGGTTTTAACACTTTATATAATCCTTCACTTGAATAAAGGGTTGATGGAATCTTTTAACTTGCTTCTGGCCGATAGAGTATCTGGAGGTTTCTGAATCCCTTTATTTGTGATTTTGTTACAAAGGACTGTAGTCCTTTGTTGGGAGACTCTCTTCCTTAATGACTTTGAGGAAATAAGGAGTCATATTGGGGAAATCTACATAGTAAGGGACTAAAGCCAGCCTTCAATCAATAGCAAGCAAGAAGTCAAGGTGGTGAAAACAATAGCCACAATAACTCTATTCTATCAATGACCAATAATATCGCTACCAATAATCATGTGTCAATGTCTCAAAGAGGTGACAGTCAGCCCTAATCTGCACTTGATCTCAACTTCATGAGTCCCTGAAGAAGACCCAGCAAAGTTAGGCCCATACTTCTAATTCACAGGAACTGTGAGAAAATAGCTATATATTGCTTTTGAAGGACGGACTACAGGAGGTCCCAAAAGGTGATAATTGGCCAAGAAGACACTTCTCTTTCCCAGAAAACATCTGTCTTCACCTAAGAGACATCTCTGCCCTCAGGCAATACACAAAGGCTATAAATCCCAATCTCCAACCTGACCCAAGGAACCACTGGTTTCTGGGTCCTCTCACATGTTCCCATGCAGACTTTCTCTACTCTTCTCTACAAATAATATCTTTCCAACCTCTGCTGCTGGAGTCCGCCTGTGCTTTCATTCTCAGAGTGGACCCAAAAACCCTGAACATCCCATGTGTGTCATCTGTGCATCATATTTGGCAACCTAAGAAGGGACAGTTCTTTACCTGAGGTCAATACAGGTTGTGCAAAACTGGAGAAGACTGCCTAGGAAGTGACTGGGATTGTCCAGCACTCCGATGGAGCCTGTCTTCCAGGAGAGCCTCCCCACCACAGCTTAGCTACAGTGGACTTCTCAGGTCAACTTTTTCTCTCTTGTTAAGGAGAGTTTCTCCCTTGGGAACCTGAGGAAAAGCTCCGAGTCCATTACTGCTATAAGTGAGGCAGCCCAGGAAATTGGGGTTGGCCAGGGGTTTATACCAGACTGCCAATGCTACATGGGCAGAGACAAACTTCAGTGCACCAAGGCTTTTTTTCCTCTCAACTCTTGGCTTCCTTCCTCCTTAAACTCTCTCCCTTTCAAGATCTGAAAAAAACATCTGGTGGAAAGGAAAGCTTCTCTTCAAGCTATAAGGATGCTCTGGCTGGGGCAACTTCCTAGTGAAACCAGAAGGCTGAAGATGCAACTTTCTAACCCACCCAGAGGCTCCAAAGGTGGATATGGACCCCTCCAGCCATGTCCATGGCAAACAGACAATCAGATCTCTATGCTTCTTTCATAGTTCTCAGTTCCTATGGCCCAAGAATGGAGGTTGCCTCTTGCTATTGCTCCAGTACTGCCTGTGGCAGAATCAACCTGGACAGCAGTGATGACCAACAACCCCTTGTATGTTGAGTCTGGAAAATCTCTTTTCCCTCAATCCTCAGCTTCTCCTTCCTACTTCCTACGTAGTTCAGGATGAGTGACCTTCCACCTTTGTTCTAAACAGCAGTGGGCTTCCTTTGAGTCTGGGAGAGATCCCTATATCCCCCATGACAGACACCAGAAAGTGATACTCTCTAACTTGGACTTAACTGTCTTTGTCTAGCATCTGGTTGATCTGG